ACCAGGGAGATGGAGGCAGCACTGGCATTGGGAGCAGTGTGCGCCAAGTGGGACCGGGCACCCCAAAGCACAGGCAGTGATTCGGAGGGCTTGTGGTGTGTCCCCTGTGCTAACCCATGGCTGTGTGCAGAGCAGAACTGGGGAAGTGAGGGAGGGAGCCAGGAAATCTGGGGTGGGGGATAAGCAAGGAAGTCATCCGGCTCTTGCTCTGGAGGAGGTGTGAAGGAGCAGGGTAGCGTTTGCCTGTCAGTAACTCCATGCAGAAGGGCAGGGATAGAGTTAGAAAACAGATTTCAGGGTCCTGCTGTCACCCCGGATGGATCACCTGAGGACACAACACAGTGACAGTTACCCTGAGCACAATACCTGTCTTGTGGGGCTGTGCTTGCTGGCCATGGAGAAGGGGGTCGTGGCTGGTCCTCCAAGAGCCCTGAGTCTCCCAGAAATGGGATGGGACAGGATGGGATGACATGGGACAGGACAGGGAGAAGCACAAGGTGTTGCTCCTCAAGGTAGCACACCTCAGAATGCAGCTTGCCTGCCTCTCCCCAGAACCCTGGGCTATAAGGCAGCCAGGAGCATCCTTGTGCCAAGTGCCCAGCATTACCTCCCCAGGGGTTCATGGCCTGAAGCTGACTCCACACATCCATCTCCAGTTGACAGGGCTCACAGTCCACCTGCGGGGAAACAGCTTGCTTTGCTAACGCTGGAACATAGACCCAGTAATCTCCTTTCTGGCAAGCCAGAAGGCGGAAGTCAGCCCTGACAATAGCGGCGGCTGGCTCCCCATGAAAAGCACCACTTCTGAGGGGGAGTTGCAGGCATCAGCTGCTCCCTCTCCCTGCCTTCTCCATTCTCCCCACAGGACCTGCCATTTCCAGTGGGTGCAAGCAGGTGGAAAAGCCTCACTTGGCTTTCACCACTTGGAATGGCAGCAGCTTCCCAGCAGGGCTGAGCTGCTGCACAGTGCCCAGCAGTACTGCTGCTGTGCTGCTTCTGGCCCTGCTTTGCAGCTGTAGTCATGGAGGTGCTTGGATCCCTTCAAAATGCCAGGCTTCTCAGAAGGAAAAGAATTCCATGAAAGCCTGGCTTCCTAGTAAGCCCTGGAACGGCTCATTGCTGCTGGCAGCTAAGGTCAGGGCTACCTGCTGTGATGCAGAACAAGTTGCTCTGCCACTGCTGCCCTCATCCCCCATCCCACTGCTCCCACTGCTGCCCAGCATGCCTTCAGGGATGCTCTGGCTGCTCCTGGCATGGAGCAGGGGCTCCTTATATGCACATCACAAGCAGGCCAGCAGCAGCATGTGGCCGTGCTCTTCCACCGCATCCTCCATCGTCTTTCCTGCATGGAAAACAGCCTGGGGACTATGACAAAGGGTTTCATGGTTTCCTATCACCCAGCTGTGTCAGCTTCCCTTGCTTCCTACCTTTCCCCATCCACTGCAGCTCCTACAGAGCCTGCTTCCTCCCCGCAGCAGCATCAGGCATGGGAAAGAGGGACAGCGAGCAGCAGCAGGGACCCTCTTTTCTCACCTCTTGCATGATGCCTTTACTGGGTCAGTAGGGCAGTGCTCTGACCTCAAGAGGCACCACAGATGCAGGGTAAGGGCCACTGCATGAAGCCTACACTGCCTGTACCTTTGCACAAGAGGTCAGGCTCCTGCAAACAAGCCTCGGATCCCAGGGGCAGTCAGGACCTCTCGCCAGGCCAAAGCATGCTGAGGGCAGCCAGGGAATGGCGCCTGTGGGAGGAAGGAGCTGCACGGGGAATGGTGCAAGGCTAGAGGGCAGGCTCACAGGTGCCAGCAGTCATCCTACAAGTAGAAAAAGTCTGCTCTCATGGGGGAGTGCCCAGCTGTGGGCACAAAGGGCCTGCAAGAGGCAAATGGGGCTGCTGAAGAAGCCCTGTCAGGGAGGAGAGGGGTGACACAGCCCCAGGGCCTCCAGGAACAGGAAGGGCACCTCAGCAGTGTGCACCCCTGGGACCATGCAGACAGACATGGGACTGGTGGGGCAGGGAAGGAGGCAGTGCTCAGGGAAGGCTGAGACACTAAAGATGGCAGGGGCCAGTATGAAGGCCATGCCAGCCCTGGGGTGACATCCCGATGAGCAGGGTAACCAAACACCATACCCACCTGGCTGGTGCTGGGGGGTGGCAGGGAGGCACTTGCTGCCCCATGACACTATCCTGGTGCCAGCCGTATCTCCTGGGACAGGGACAGGTCCCGCTGGGGGGGGGTAAGGTGCCAGCACTTAGGAATGCAGGGCCGAGTGTGCTGGGGTGAACCACCCATCGGACTGCCTGCCACCCCCCAGTACCCCAAGCCCGGGACGGGTGCCGGGGCTGCCCTGAAGCGCTGCCGCTACCGCAGCCGGGATGCCCGCTCTGCCCCAGCACCCTGCGTTTCCGCAGGCACCGGCGTCTGTGCCGGTTCGCGGCCCCCCGGCCAGCCCTGCCCGTGGGACGCCGCTCCCGCCCGGGCCGGGGTGTCCCGGGGCTCGGCCATGCTGGCTTACGTGGCTTTTTTCCTTTCCGGCAGGCTCGCTCCGCGGTGCTGCCGGCGAGCAGTGCAGGATCCCGCTCGGCTCAGGCTCAGGCTCCGGCTCAGGCTCAGGCACAGGCACAGCACTGCCTGCAGTGCCTGCCTGCGGCTCGCCAGGTCCTAGCGCGCTGCCTGCAGCCTCAAGGACAACGCGCACAAGTGCGCGGGACAGCCCTCAACCACAGCCCGCGGCCGCAGCCGGTGCTCCCACCCCTGCCTGACCCTGCCTCGCACCCCGCTCTGAGCCGGGACTCCCCCCGCTGCAGCGCCTGCGTCTACGAGAAGGATGCTTCTGGGGTCCACCGCTGTCACATCCCCGGCACAGGGATGCTCCGTGCTCTGGGTTTCCCCAGCGCTTCCCCTCCTCCTGGAGCAGACGGCTGGCCCTCCTGCCCTTTCGAGCTCCTGGGGACCTTGCCCCGGGAGCAGGACACCTCTGTGCTGCGAGGTTGCAGACCAGGCAAGGCGGGCAGGGTGCCGGCAGCCAGCCCCTCCAGTACTGCTTCCACTCCCCGTCTGCAGCGGGGCCAGGCTCCAAACCCTCCTTGCAGCCACCGGACTGGAAAGCCACGGGTTCTGGTTGGAGTCCCAGACCTCTGTCCCCCGGCGGTGGGGGAGAACGGCAGCAGGTGATAGCTCCAGGAGCTCAGCACAGGCTACAGGGTGACCTTGCAGCAGCACTGCCGTTCAGCCGAAATGGGGAGCAAGTCCTTGGCTCGGCGAAGAGGGATTTGAACCAGACCCCCAGGGAACACGCTGTACCCGAGGGAACAAGGCACAGCAGAGACAGCACTTGCAACGATAAGCCCCCTGCCTGCACCTTGCCATTACCTTGAGGGCTCAGTTCTCCCGGTGCCGGAGGATGCTGCCTGCAGCCTCCTCGCTGCGCGGTGCCAAGTAGGGTCGGGGCTTCCCGCGAAGGCAGGACCAGGGTGCAGAGGCTTCACTGCCCGCCGGCTCTGCAGCCGGGGAGGGTTTGGAAGCCCTGGTGCTGGCTGGGCCCGGCTGAGCACGGCTTCCGCTGGCTCAGCAGGTGCAGCCTGCAGGCACGGGCAGATTAGCGGGGCAGGGGGAGGAGAAGTTGTTTCTGCCATAGGAAACGGCAACCGGGATTCGTCAGTGAGTTGCAGCGGGGCCGAGCGCCAGCATGGGGAAGGAGAGATGGGCGGCCGCTGGTAGGAAGCCACCTCGGGGGAAAAATGTACCCAGTGCGAGGAGGACAGCCCCGGGCACTGGGAGCAGTGCTGCGGGTGCCAGCGTCCTCCCTGGGATGGCACATGTCACCCCATGCTGCTGTGCTGGACTCTGGCTATGGCAGGACGCTTGCTGAGCCTCCACCCCACTGTGGGCCAGCACCAGCCCCCTGGGGCCTGAGGGTGGGGGCCCCTGCGCACACTGCCCCTCCACCGGGCCCCTCAGCTGCTCAGGAATGAACTGGCATCTGCCCACCGGCTGCTCTCCTGGTATGTGCGGCCAGAGCCTCCTCCCTAGCCCATCCCAGGCTGGCCCTCTCCCAGGACATTCCCCCCTCCCAGTCCTACTATCCCCTCGCCTCTTCCCATTAAGGCAGCGCAGGCAGCTGGGCTTCAGTGCTGGAGGAAAACAGGTGCCGGAGCCAAGAGCGATGGAGCCAAGTGGAAGGTGGGAACGCACAGGGGGAGCACTAAAAGCACAGCAACACCCCCCGCCGGCGTGTCCTCCCACCCCACAGTGGGAGCATGGAGAAAGCCCCTCTGCTGGTGATTCCAGCGTGCCCACCTCCAGTCCCAGTGGCACTGCAGGAGGAAAATGGGGTGGCGGGAGCACTTCTCTCCCAGCCCTTGCTGCAGAGCTGGGCTGCAGCCAGCATTTCTATTTTCAGCCCCAAACATGTATAAGGAGGCGAGGAGTGTGCGCAGCCCAGCCTCGCAGCCTGCCAGGGAGAGGCCCTGCTACCCAGAGCCCCGGAAGCTTCCCCTTCTCCCCGTGGGGCTGGTGAATGCTCAGTGCAGGTTGGGCTTCCCCTTTACCAGTGCAGGCAGGAACCAGGGCAGCTGAAGCTGGTGTAGCCTGGTAAAGTTACTGCAAAATATTTAGGATGCAGGAAGCCCTGGGGGTCTGGCTACACCGCCCTGACCCCTCCATGGCACACAGTAACTGCCCGCCGTCACCTGGGCCAGCAGCCATCTGAGAGCTGGGCAGGCCTGGCAGGCAGGAGGATTTGCTCTGCAGGCAGTAGCTTCCCCACCAACCACCTGCAGCAGAGAAAAGGGGCCCAGATGCCCCATGGGATTAGGTGGGCTGGGTACAGGCACAGAGGAACCACAGGACAAAGCATCCTTGTGAGACGCTCAGGCTTTTCCACAAGTAGAGCTGAACCCCGCTGCAGAGGTCTCCCTCGTCTGAGGCTTCCCCGCAGCCAGGACCACCACGCAGAGCCCGACGGGTGCTGCTGGAGGAAGAAGCTCCCACACTATGTGTCTGTTTATTTTTTAATAAAAACAACACCCCTCGACCCCCTGCTTGTGCTGCGTGTCGGCAGGATGCCTGGGGAGCCATCGCACCCAGGCAGAGCACCCGGCAGGAGGGGTGCTCAGCGCCGGGCTGAGGCCAGAGCTGCGGTGGCTGGAGCAGAGCTGCTCACTGCAGCCTCTCTCCCCCGGGGAGGCGGTGAGCTGGTGCTGGGAGCAGAGACCATGCTGGGATGGCACCCAGGAGGACCAAGGGCAGGCTAGAGCTTTTCTCCCCATTGGCTGGGGCTCACTCCTTCTTCCCAAAGAACTTCTTGAAGACGGATTTGTTCTTGGGGCGAGGGGGGGTAGGGGTCTTCTCCCCCAGTGTGTCCTGTGGGGTCCCTGGCCGGGCCACAAAGGAGTGGCAGCGTGCTCGGGGCACAGCAGGTGCTTGCTCCCCAATGTACAGCGTGACCGAGTAGCTGCTCCCAGCCTCCATGGGTTCCTTGGGCACAGCCACTGGAGTGATCCTCTGGTAGGTGGCTGCAAGAGGGAGCAGTCGGCAGGGAGGGCAGGGTACCAGCAGATGCTGCCAGTCCCCCAGAGCTCACCCTGAGTAGGGAGCTGCAGCCCAGGCACAGGGATGTGGGACCGGGTGGATGCTGGAGCAGCATCACACCTGCCCTCGGCTGTCGGTGGGGACAAGGGCACTGGTGCCACCTTCTGGCAGTGACAGCGAAACCAGCGTCCTACCTGAGGTGAAGGAGTAGGACCTCCTCTTGTTGGCCACCAGCCCGGAGTCGTCATCTTGGCAGCTGTTGTCCCATAACCCCGGGGACCCTCTGGGTGACCACCGCTGCTCCCTGTGCCTGGACACGTGAGCATCCTCTGGAGCAGAACAGAGACAGGTCATAAGGCAGGGCCATCACAGGACACCCATGTCAGCCCCAGAGAGGACAGCGAAATGTATTCCAGGAAGTGAAAGGAGATAACTGGTGCTTTTCCCAACCCAATTCCTGGGCATGGGGCTCTGGGCCTCCTGGCCCAGACAACACCCAGCTCAAGACTGACTGACAGCCTTCAGTTCACCCCCAGTCAGCAGCCCTGCACTTCTCTGCACTGGTGAGAGGACAGCAGGAGCCCAGCCAGCCAGAAAAGTCACCTGCTGCTGCCACAGTCCCATCGGCTGTGCCATCCTGGCTGCCCACAGCCCGCTGCAGCCAAGCGTTGGAGCAGGGTAGCACCACGATCTCCTGGCTCTTGGTGGTCGTGACCAGATGCTGCCCCTGGAGGTGGGAGCTCCCAGGGCTGGAGACCTTGCTGAAACTGGGAAGTAGCAGAGATTTAGTTAACCAGACTGGCCCTCTGGTATCCTGCTGGAGCAGCACACAAGGGCAAGTGTGGGAGAGAGCTATAACAATGAGATCCGGCTAGCCGGCTCCTGGCTACTCACCCCCCAGCACCGCCAGTGCCCTCGACATGCTGTGCTGCCACCTGGAAGTAATCCACTTCGGGGAAACCTGGGGGTATAGAAAACATCCTGCTAGGTGCAGGCAACGTGCAGGACCATCCTGCAGAGCCAGCCCCAGCTCTGGGTGCCCGTGCTGCATGGTGGGCCCCTCTGACCTCCTGCTGCAATGCCTGCTCTCGGTCCTGCCAGCCATGGTGAGACCTGAAGGCCCTTGGGTATGGGTACAGCAGTGGGAAGACCTCAGTATTACAGGTCTCCTTGCCTGGATGACAGGCAAGGTCTTTCCAGGCCCCGTAGAGAGGATGCAAGAAGACCAAGGCGCAATTACAATTTTCCTGACACCAGCTTTTCGCTGCTGCAGCTCCACTGACGTCAGTTGTGCTATTCCTGATTTGTAACTGTTGTATGTGGTGTGAAAACAAAGCCTCCAAATCCTGCCTGGCAGAGATCTGCTGTTCCCAAGGCAAGTTAGGAGGCATAAATCAGAGACAACACCGTACTGCTTCTCTTCTGACCCTCCATGTACCAGTGGGGCTGCACACCATGGTATGCACATACAGCCAGGCCCCTTTCACAAGCAAGGGCTGCTCACCTGAGTTTTGCTGCAGCTTGGAGACCCATTCATTCATGAGGGGCTGGGAGGGGGCCCTCAGGAGGTACTCGGAGCCATCCTGCAGCCTGCAGGGAGGGAGAACAAGTCAGCAATGAGACAGACACGGGGTGCAAAAACCACAGCCCCTGCCAGCCTGGGAAAGAGGGAAAACAGGTGGGAAAGAAAGAAGGAAATCATAAGCACCACACTGAGCCACTGAGCAATGGCTGGTATTGGTGGGTGTCTGTCCCAGCCGGGGCACATCAGGGAGGGCTGTGCCCGGGCTTGGGGTGACTCACTGAAGCCTGAAGCAGTTGGTCTTCTTTGTGTACTCGGCATCCGGGGTGCAGACTGCCCCGGCGAGGTTCAGGGGAAGGGCCACCACGGAACTCTGCAGCACAGGGAGCAGCAAGAGTAACAGCAGGGTTAGCAGATTCTGCCTTCCCCGCTGCCAGCCTCCTACCCCACTGCCAGCTCCGTCCCATGTCACCCCACTCTCCCCCCCCACACCTTCAGGCTGTCCCTGCGGTCCTGGTAGAAGCACAGCGTCTGCCTCATCAGCACGGCGTGGAAGAGGCTCCAGGCCCGGCAGCTGGCCTGTAGGACACAAACGGGACAGCTGGGACACCAGCAGCTTTGGGAGAAGGCCATGCGACCCAGAGTGCACCCCAGCCCCGGTGGGCTCTGCCCTCCCAGCAGCAATGCCATGGTAGTGCCAGGAACACCCCTGGCTTCACTCATGCCCCAAAACCTGGACGCCTCCTGCCATGTCCCAGCACTCCAGCCTTGAAGAAGCCCCGCAGCCATGCATGTACCTTCCTCCCTCCTGTCTGCAACACGTGCTTCCTTTCCAGTGTGCCCTCCATCATCTGAAACTCTGTTTTACCGGAGGGGACCTGTGAAGAGACGGGGGTGAGCCCTGAGCACATGGGGTCTGCCTGACCCATCCCCAGCAGGCAATGCCAAGGTGGGAAAGGGACAACAGAAGCAATGTTCTATGCTGTTTGTAGGCTTTTGGGGTGAGGTTTGCTGGAGCGGGTAACCCAGCTGCTGCCTGGAATGTCCCCCAACCCACTGCTTGACTCCGAGGGACACTCCATGGCTCTCACCTTGCTGCCCTCCCTCTCCTCTTCCCCACATCTCCGCAGATCCCAGGCGCTGGGGCCATCCAAGGAGGCTGTGGACACCAGCTCCTCTGAGCGGGGGGACACCCCGTGTCTGCTGGGACTGCCACCACTGCTGTGCCCTGCACCAGGGCTCTTGTCTCCGGAAGGGCTGTGGAGGAGCCGGGCAGTGGTGGGAAGGGTGAACTTGGCGACTAGTACATTGCTGGCTGACGAGAGGATGAGGGGCCCACCGGCAGCGGCGTCAGGGCTGGGTACGCTGCCTGCCCTGCTCCCTGGTAGGCGGCGGGCACGGCTGCCTGCTGGTATGCTGTGTGCCTGCTGGTCGTCTGCCCCATTCCAGATGGCCTGCAGCTCCTCCTCCTCCTCCTCAAACTGCCCATGGGCAGGGTGGCAAACCTCTCTGGTGCCCGACGCAGGGCTCTGGGGCTGAGGGGACCCCAGCTCCCATTCCAGGACAGAGAGCTGGGTGGGGGCAGCGGGGGAAGCTGGGGACACTTGGGGCTGGCCACTGCTGGCTGGCCGCTGTGTGCAGGCAGGGCTGGGCATCGCTCCTGCCCTGCCTGGTGTGCCAGCAGGGGATGGCCCCAGCTCCAGCCGAGCAGCTTCGCAATGCCTGGCCCTGCCACTGGCACCGGGGCTGCCATCCTGGCTCAGCCGGGCAGACAGCTCGTCCCCCTCCCGTCCAACCCGCTTGTGCAGCACGCCGATGCGGGGCAGCCGGCTCGGCCTGAAGTCCAGGGGGTCTTCACCAGTGCTGCCAGGGCACCTCGGGCTCCAGCGCTCCTCGCCAGCACAATGTGCCCTTTGCCGGCTGTAGCTGGGGTTGAAGCTCACCTCCTCGAACCATGTTCCTCGCTCGCTCTTAGGGGAAGAGCCCAGCCCCTCACCAGGCCCCTGGGGACTGTGCCCATCCGCATCTACCTTCTTCTGCCATACAGCCCCGTGCGTACCTGTGGGCTCCTGCGGCCTCACTGCCCTGACCTGCCTCTGCTCCTGCCCCTCTGCTTCCTCTGGCCGCACCGTGGCCCCTCGGTGGCACCCCAAGACCACTGGGTCCCGGGGCAGCTCCAGGCTGAGCACGGAGCCCAGGGAAAGGTGGGGGCACGTGTTTTTTTGGTTGGGGAGGTGGGTGTCCTGGGGGGCCGCCTCGCACTCAGCATCAATGTCCTGCACCAGCGGGTTCCTGACATAGAGCAGCAGCTCCCTGAGCTGGGGTCCAGCAGCGGCTGCTCCAGGGCCCCCCTTCCTCCGGCCGCACTTCTGAGGCCATGTGCTGCTGGGGCCGTGCCGCTCCTCGGGCGCGGGCTGCAGGGAGCCGGTGCCCATGATACCCTGCAGGGTCAGCAGCTGGGCCTGCTCGGCCCTTGCCTGCTCCCGCCGCTGCAGGCTGTTGAAAAGGGAGCCGGCCCCAGCCATGGGCAGGGTGTGAGAGGTGGATGAGGTCCCAGGGCTTGGTGCTGGAGGCCGGCGGGCAACGGTGGGCGGCCGCTTAGCGCTTGAGGTTTTCTCTGCCTCCGCCTGCGCCTGGGGACACAGAGATAAGAGAGGTGTGACTCTCCTGGCTGAAGCCTCCGTTACCCGGCACCGACCAGCCCCTCTCCGTGCTGTGCCTAGGCAAGTGGGGAGCCAGGGGGCAGGCAGCCAAAAATGCTCACCAGCAGCGCATAGCGAGCTGGGAGCAGCATGGCTTCACCTCAGCACCCTGAGGGCTGCTCCCACCTCCGTGGAGGCGGAGGAACCCGCCTCTAACCAGCATGGAGTCCCCCTGCTGGGGTGCAGTGGGGGCTGCCTATGCCATGTGGCTCTCCTGCCACACTGCCATCACTCCGGGGTGGGTACTGAGACAGCAGTCACTGCTGCCCACCCCTGCATGCCCCTAGGCGACAGAGCTGTGAATGCACTGGGCAGCGGCTGAGTCCCCCCATTCCCTACAGAGACCCTCTCCAGCCCGGCCGCAGCCCCTCTCCTGGGTTTCCACAGCTGCAAGGATAAAAGCTACCTGCAGCAGCTGGAGCAGTGTCCCCCTGTACCCCTTGGGCCGGAGGGTGTTTGTTACCAAAACTCTCCTGGCAGCCCCTTGCCCTGCCCCAGTGCCCTCTGGCCTCTCCAGTCTGGGGCCTCTCCCTTGGGCTACCCATCCCTGGCTGTGCTGGGGTGCTCAGCCGTGGCTGTCCTTGGGACACAAAATGCTTCGTGCACACTGTGGAGCACCACCAAAATACCGCGCTCCCAGCCCCAGGGTTACAAGCCATGCAACCCAGAACCAGCCCTCCCCAGACGTGCACCCTCACATGGCCCCATTCACCCTTGCTCCCCTCAGTCGGCTGCACAAGGGACCGGTGCTGCATGCTGGCAGCGGAGGGGGGAGGCTCTCCCACCTACCATGGCTACCAGAACCAATTACTCAGGGGGCCAAACTGCGGCCAGCCCTGTCCAAACTCCTTCCTCACATGCCCCAGCACCCACCACACTCTGGAGCTCATGTCACCATGAGGGTTTCCCCTCTCCTGCAGGACCACCGCTGGCAGGGCACAGTGGCATGGCAAGGAGGGTTGGTAGCAGGCAGGTTCACACCATGCAGCCACTCTGCCCAGCATGCAGCCTCCCATGGGGATGTTACCTCTTCCACTGGCTGGTGAAGCGGCTTTCTCTTTCGCTTTAAACTACCCCAAGTGTTTCCTAAAAGCCCCTGGCAACGCTTCCAAAAGTTTTTACAGCCTGAGCGTTTAGTGGCAGGGAGCTGAGCAGGAGGAGAGAGAGACACAGAGAGAGTTGAGGGCAGAGTGAGTGAAGGAGCCAGAGCAGGAGAGCGCAGGCAAAGGGGGTGGCGCAAGCTGGTCCTTGGCCCTTGGGCATTGCTTGGCATCGGCATAGCCAAAGGTCCCTCTTCTGAGACTGATACAGCCCCAACAGCTCGCTTGAAAACACCCCATGGGGGCTACCCTGCAGCCCTCAGAGCCTCCCGGTCTGCATGGGTGCACAGCCCTGGGAAGACACCCTGGCTGGCCCTGGGACAGGCACTGCGTGCTCACCCATGGCTCTGCGGAAGCTGTCTGCCATCCCCACGTACCGTCCGCAGCGCCTCTTCCCCCAGCCTCTCCCCTCCAGGCACCGGCTGCGCCTTCTTCTTCTCGCCCTTCTTGCTGATGCTGAGGATGAGGTTGACCGTCCCGCCCAGCCCGCCGGGGCCCCGTGGTGGCAGCAGCAGCGTGGAGGTCTCAGCAGGATCCCAGATGACAGCCTCCTCGTGGGGTCCTGCACCGGCGGATGCTGAGCTGCTGGGCTCCCCCCGGCTCTGCTCCACTCCTGATGGGGTATCCGAGTGGGGCAATGCTGGAGGGGAGATGGCCATTCCCACTGGCAGCCGTGGCTCTGATCTTTGCATAGGCTTGAGGACAGAACAGGGCATGAACTCCACTGGGTTGTGGATGCTCTCCAGCTGGGGCTGAGCACACAGGGCATGCTGCTCCTGGGGAGCAAGGCAAGAGAGGGAATGTGGAGGAAGGTCTGCCAGAGGCAGGCATTTTCTCAGGACAATGTTCCCTTTGCCCGGCCTGAGAGTCCCAGAGGTACTGGCACACATCCCTCCTTTACTTCTACACCACCCCCTCCACCCGGTGCCTCTGCTACCCTCAGCCTCAAGGCTGATCCTGCTCCCTGACAGTCTCAGCATGGCTGGGTACTCACTTGGCTGGTGGGAGACATGCCAGAGGGGCTCTCCGGGTCTCTTCTGTCCTCCTGCTTTCTTCCTGGGTCCCTCTGGTGCCTCTGTGCTCGCCAGCGCACCAGCACCCAGCCCAGCATGCTCTGCAGCTCCTCCAAGCGCTCCTTTATCTGAAGGGAGAAGAGATGCTGGGCAGCCTGCAAGGACTCCTGGCCCACAGACACTGGCCCCACCAGGACACTCCACTACAGAGCAGTTTAGGAGGGTTTTTTGAGGACAGTCACATCACCTCAGGTCTCAGCATCTACTGCTGAGTGAAACTCCTTCCTGCCCTGAGCAGCCGAGGAATGCATGGCTGTTCACTTGCTGGGGCTCTGCACCCACACCTTGTTCCCTCTTGTCCACAGAGGATTTTGGGGGGTTCTGAGGGTTTCCCCAACCTCATCTGCCCTGTCCTTACTGTTGCGCTCAGGTAGTGCTCCTCAGACACCAGCTGCTGCCCTGACGCTGCCAGCGCCTCAAACTCCTTGAGCTTCCCTTCGATCCTTCTCTCCAGCTCCTCACACGGAGTCTCTGGGAGGCCGTGGCCACTTGAGCCTTCAGAGAAGATCTGAGCCCGCGTGTCCTCCGTCCAGGAACTGTGGGCATGTGAAAAATGGGCTGAGGAACGACTTACTCCCTCCTCAGCCCTGCAGGCCCCAGAGAAGCCATTCCCATGCTCAGGGATGGCTGGAAGCAGCTCGCTAGAGTAGCAGCAAGTCTGGTGGGGCAGGGCAAGATGCTGTGGGGCTGCCCCACAGCAGGGAGCCCTGGCACAGCCCTTGGTTCCAAGCTCTCCATGGCCTTGCCTGGCTGCAGCTCTGGCATTGCCCATGTACCCACCATGGAAGCCCATGATTCCACACCATGCTGTCACCAGCTCTCCCCAGCCACTGCAGAGACAGCCCTGATGGCTCATCACCACTCACATCATGGCCAAGTAATCCTTGAAGAAGAGCCGCAGCCGGCTGGCCTGCTGCACACTGGCCCGGGTCTCCTGCAGCAGCTCCCGCAGCCTTGCCCAGGCACACAGCGTCTCCTGCACCTCCCGGCTGACAGGGCACAGACGAGTGGGGCACAGCTCTTCCAGGTGTGCACTTGCCCTCTCCAGCTCCTCCAGCTGCCCCTGCAGGGTCTCTGACACCTCACGCTAAAGAGCACAAGGCAGAAAAGGTTCAGGATGCATCCAACCCCTCTGTGCCCAGGCTGGTCTCCCCCGAGTGCTGGGATGATAGGATGGAAGGGAGGATGCAGGGATGGAAGGGAACATGCAGGGATGGAAGGGAGTATGTGGGGATAGAGGATGCTGGCACAGGGAGCGGGCAGAGCCACCCTTGGCAGGAGGATGGGCAGAGCAGTGGGCTGCCTGGTTTCCCTGCTCTGCTGGCGTGAGTCACCTCCCTGCATTGGGAAGATGAGTGAGGTGCTGGCAGCCAGGCGCTGGCACACGGGAGCTGACGTAAGCTCTCCCCTTGGCCTGGCCCGCGCCAGCAGAGGGAGCGGAGCAGGGCAGGGCTCAGCTCTGCTGGAAAATTCCAGCCCAGCCTGCCATGGTGTGCCAAGGCTCACAACACCTGGGCCCCTGCGGGCCAGTGCCTCCCTGGGATGGCCCCAGCCAGTTGGGATGCCTCCCTACCATGGGCACGGTGCTCCCTGGGTCTCACCTCCAGCTCCTGCTGCTGGCTCAGCAAGCCCTGCAGCCCCTCGAGATCCTTCTCACTCTTCACCGCAGTGAAGCTGCTCTCTGCTTGGGCAGTGTCACGAGCTAGTGCCTCAGCTCTGCATCGAAGGGCCTCCAGGCATGGGGACACCTCTGCCACCTGGACGGGCATTGGGGAGAAGGGATGAGTCCTGGTGTGGGACCACCTGTGCCACCACTCACCAGCAGCCCCAGCCCACCCCAGAGGGCACCCTGCCATGTGCCTGCAGAAGGGCAGGGAGCAGCAGCAACAGAAGGGATGGGGATAACTTCACACAGAGCAGACCCCATGTATCCAAGGCCCGTACGTCCCACTGGGACCGGCTGAGGTGCATGCCTTATCCCAACTAGCCAGCATGTTCAGCTACAGGTGGACTACACAGCTGCTTCCCCAGACCCCTGCCTTCATCCCCTACCAGGCGCTCCAGGTTCTCCGTCTCTGCTGCCACCTCCATGACCCGCTCCCGCTCCTTCGCTGCATCGTTCAGCATCTCCACAGCCTCCTGCAGCTCTCCCAAGGGATGGCTCAAGTCCTCTCTGCTCAGCGGCTGCCCGGCCTGGGCCAAGAGCAGGGGAAAAGACCCCTGCAAGCTGCAATGACCACTCCCTGGCTGAAGCCAACAGAAACAACAGGAGTGAGGGATGCGGGGAACATACCCCCAGGCAGCTGGGCTGGAGGGGGACACCCATGGGGTCCCCGTGCCACCCACAGACCAACCCTACTTCCAGTCCCAGATGCTGGACGATCCCAAAGGATGCCTGGTCCCACTGCTCACCGCTTCAGGTTCCTGTCGGCTCCGTGCCTCCTCCTCTTGCAGGTCCTGCAGGAACTCAGACAGCACCAGGGAGTCACGCAGGTCTGCCGCCCGGTGCCGCAGGGCTGCCTGCACACGTGCCAACCTGTGGGGACAGGCACCCATCACACATGCTGGCACCATCCACACTGCCTCGCGGCAAGCATCATCCTCCCCGCACCTCCTCAGGGCAAGCATCCTCCTCCTTGCCCAACCGGGAGATCAGAGAGGAGGCACCTTCCCCAAGGACTCACTTCTCCTCCACCACCTCCACCTTCCTCTGCATCTTCCTCCTTCCCTCGAGCTCGGTGGCTGACTCGCCTGCTGCCTCCTCCCGCAGTGCCTGCAGCTTGGTGCCACACAGCACGAGCTGCCTCTCCAGCTGACCCATCTCCTCCAGGTCCTGGCGTAGCTCCACAGGGCTTTTCATGGCAGCCGGCTCTGAGAGTGACCCGGCCACGGCTTGCAGCCACCGCTCGGCCCGGTCCAGCTCCCCCACCAGCCTCAGTGCCTGGAGGAGAGCAGGGAGCCCATCAGCCTGGCTCTGAGCCACCCAGGAAAGGCAGAGGCCATGCTACCCCACTGTGGGTACCCAGGGCACTGGCAACTCGGGTGGTGCAGTTGAAGCAGTGATGCCGTCCGGAGATGTCAGTGCCAATGCTGCAGCTCTTGTCCTGATGAGCACCTTGCTTGCTGACCCCCAGCAAGCTGCTGCAGCAGGGGCATGCCGTGGGCCCACCCCAGCCCTTCCTCCATGTACCTTATCAATCTCCTGCAGCACGATGCCATTCTCCTGGTGCTTCCTCTGCAGGTCCTCCCAAAGCTCGCTCAGCTCCCGCAGCATGGCCTCCACCTGTGGGCTCCCCGGGGGCCTCCCAGGCACCGGCCCCTCCTGGCAGGCAGGCAGGGAGGGTGGTTAGAATGGGCCCTGCTGCTGTCACCCTATAGCCCACACCTGAGGGGGCTCACCAGGAATGCGGCCCTGGAGCTGGGGTCTGGGGGCTCCCCCTGCATCTGTGCTCCCTCCAGGCTCTCCACATCCCCCAGGCGTGGAGGGACTCTGGGACCCACGCTGTCCCTGTGCGAGGACACAGTCTGCTGAGGAGCAGGGAGATGTGGTACATTAGTGCCCAGACCAGGGACAGCATGCGTGCACAAGCAGCATGCCCACAAACAGCAGGAGGGGGTCAGGGAAGGGAGTCCTGCCCCCCAGCACTGGCTTGCCTGGCTGGACAGGGAGCAAAGTGTGTTTTCAGGGAGACATTACCGTGTTCACCGCATGGCAGACATCCCGCACATGGGCCTCCTGCTGCCGTGTCCCCCACTCAGCCTCTGCCTCTCTCCTCCTCCTGCAGAGAGGGACAGAACTGGAAGGTTCCCCCTTGCACAGGAGATCCCCATCCCCTCCAACTCCATCTCGCTCCCTGCAGCCAGTACCTTTTGCTGTCCTCTCCCTGAAGAAGCTGCATCACCACCGGGGAGCCAAGGCTGCTCCCCTCTCCTCCCTTGTGCTCCACCATCTTCCCTGGTACATCCTTCGGTACCTACAGCACAAAGGCTCCTGTTCCTCCCTTGCCAGCCCAAAGCGTGCTTCCCTTTGTCCAAGGCCTGGCACTTATCACCTCCCATAAGCAGCAGGGCCAGGGCCAGGTGTGCTCAGCCTGGGCTTTGCTAACACCTCCCCTTTCCCACAGGGTTGCTCATTTTTCCAAGGAAAAGGTGCTGGAGATGTCTGGAGGAAGGTAGATGCCTGTTCTCACCATGCTCCCAGAGTCTCTTGTCCATTTGTCTCCTGCTTCCTTCCCTGCAGCTTGGGACTCAGCGCTCAGAGCCACAGCTTTCCCCCCTGGAGAACTGCTCACCAGAGCCTTCCCTGTCCTGTGAAAGGGGAACAACAGAGGCTCAGGGGAGAAGAGGATGAAGAGAGACCTTAAGTGGAGCTGGTGCCCCAGAGGCAGCCTGTCAGGAGCTAACAGATCTTTCCCTGAGCTTCCACCTCTAGTGCTAGAGGGTTCTGGGGCTCATCCGGGCTATGCCCTACCTCAGTGCTTGCTGGAGCTGTGCCCAGCTCTCCTTCACCTCTCGGTGCTTGGGGTTCAGTCGGGCTGCCAGGCTGGGCTGCAGGCTGAGGAGCTGGGACACAGTCACATCCAGCATCTGGAGGAGAGAGAGCAGCAGGGGAGCAATGATAGGATAGGGGATGAGCCACCATAGCCACAGTGCAAGTGCATGACGGCAACCCACCACAAGCCCTGTGGGGCCAAAACTGGTCCCCTCCTGCCCCCAGGAGGGTTCCCCATTATCACACAGCCCCTCCACCCCATGTGGCTTTGGGGTGCCCACTGAGGCCTTGCTGGTTGGTGCCAGTGCCGACCTGGGAAGGTACACACATCTCCCCTCTATTGGGATGCTTCCCAGAGCTCAGAGAATGAGGCAGTCTCTTGCACTTACCATCACCTGGCTGGCTATGTCTCTGACATCCCGATCCCGGCATGGCTCGCCCTCCTCTGGTTTCCCTACACCACAGATGTTCTTTTGCTGTAAGAAGAAGCTGCAGTGAGCCTCAGGAGGAGGACAGGGCCCTCCCTCAGCTCTGGCAGAAAGGGATGCTGCAAAGCTGTGCTTGCCCCTTTGGTTCCCCTTCTCACACCAGGCTCTGTCTCCCAGCACTCTCCCCAGGCCCCAGGCTGAGGGTGCTGGGACCACAGCAGTCCCCATACAGGGGATGAGAGCAAGGTGCGACCTGCCCAGTTTTGCTCTGACCGTACAGCAGCCCCACACCAGGCTGACCGTGGCTCCGGTGCTGGTACCTTGGTGTGGATGGCCCCAAGCAGGGTATCCGCTTGCTGGAGGAAGGCAGCCACCTCCAGGGCCAGCTGCAGAGCCTCATGGTGCTCCTTCAGGGTCCCCTGCAGCCGCAGCCACCTGCGCCGGTGGAAGGGGAGAAGTGAAGGGCAGCCTATGCCCTCCTAGGGAGCAGTGCAGAGCTGGGGTGAAGGGAGGCACGAGGGAGGTTTGGGGGTCCTGCTTCCCAGCCTGTTGTCTCCCAGTGCCTGGCTCAGACTGTGCATCCTCCACTCACGTTTTGTTGAGGTGCTTGCGTCGGGCTGAGATGCTCCTGCTCTCACTTTTGCCTTGTTTCTCCAGCTTCTGGGCCAGGCTGTTCAGCTCCTTGTGCAGGCTCTGGAACTGCTGCTCCTCCTGGCCCGAACAGAGGCAGACATTAGCATCCTCAAGGACCTGCACCATGCTCCAGGTTCAGGTCACCCAGCAGCCTCTCACCTGCTTCAAGTCAAGGATGCGGCGGGTGAGCTGGATCTTGTCCGGGCTTTCCTGCAGGAGGGCTTCCATGGATGGCTTCTCCTCCTGGGCCAGGGGAGAGTGTGAGAAGGCAGTGGGACAGCCTGGTTGCGTCCCCCCACCCTGCGGACCACGCCCTGAGCACCCCACACCTTGTGCTTGATCCATGCCTCCAGCTGCTCGGCTTTCCTGTTGAAGTCCTGCAGGCTCCGCAGCCCGCCCAGGGCTTTGCTCTGGCTGGCGGCTGTCTGCTTCAGGAGCTGCCACTGCTCCCGCAGGGCCAGCAGCTGCCTGCGCACTGCCTCGGCGCTGGGACTGGCTCGCCACATCAGCTGCTCACCCATCTGTGGACCCAGTCAGCGTGAGGGGCTCCCAGGGACCCTCTGCTTTGGAGAGCACAGGGACACGGGTGCTGCAGGGAATGGGAGCCATGCCGCCATCCACCCTCACCTGGTTGAGCTTTATCAGTGTGTTCTCAAAATCCTTCATGTCCCGCTGCAGCGTCTGAGCCACCTCTTCCCAGTCCTGGAGGTCGCAGCCATCCTTCAGGTCCCGCAGCTTGCCTCGCACCCAGCCCTCTGCCTGCCATGTGGGAAGAGCCACGTAGCCAGGGACCTCCACCAGAGACTCAAGGACACAGCTTTGGGGACGCAAGCCCAAACCCTTCCGAAGCCACAACAGGGACTCAAGGGTACTCTCTGGGCTGACAACCCATCTGCTCCAAGCACCAACAAGCCAGCAAAGGGGCTCAAGATGGCGTCAGTGGCAATGGGGGTGAGAAGGTGAGTAGCATCTGGCTTCTTTCCAGTACCTGCCCCCCCACCAGCAGGCCAGACTGGGCATCTCTGCACAGGACAGCCCTGCAGGAAGCATCTCTTCTCCCTGCACCCTCCTCCACAGCTCACCACCCATGCACCCTCCCCAGTATGACACAGAAGCAGCCCCCCTGCACCACCCCTGTTCCCAGGGATAGGGACTGGGAGGAGGAGGATGGGGGCCGGGAGGAGCGTGCGCACGTGGGGAGGAAGCAGGGCCCTGGTGTGGGCTGACCCCCTCTCCCTGGGGCCGACAGCCAGGGAGAAGCAGCCAAACATGATCTCATGCCACAACCACGGCTTCGCTCAGGGCAGGGAGTTCAGCCTCCCCAGCGTGCGCCCTCCCCCGCTGCTCACATGAAAGGCCCTGGAGTCCCCCACTCCGCTCCGACACAATTCCTAGAGCGGGCACCCATCTGTCCTCACCTGCAGCATCTCCCGGTTGAACTGGGCTACCAGAGGGCTCGGGTCAAGGAGGAGGGGTGCTCCCGCACCGCTTCGCCCATCGCCTCTTGGTGCCATGCTGGGCTCCTTGCCCCTGGGGCTCTCTTTCTGGGGTGATGATGCCAGGGATGCTGCCAGCTGGGGTGGGCAGAGGTGGGGAATTCATTGTGCTGCCACAGAGAGCCCTCCCCATCACCTCCCAGGAGCATTTCAGGTGCACAACTCAGGTATGTCAGCCTGCCTCATCCCTGATCCCACTCCTTCACTGACATAGGGCTCTCTTCCAGCATTCCAAGGCACAGCTCCCCTCTACCAAGGCTGCACCGGTGACTTTCACAGCCCTGGCAGGGGGTTGCCAGGCTGTCCCTCAGCCCCGGGTCACTCCAGGCTAGTGGGACGGCACCCAACACCTCTGCTGGTCCCTGCACCCAATTTGGAGATGGATGTGGTGCTTGCTGCCCCTCCAGCCTGAGGCTGCATGTCCCTACAGGGAGCATTCCCCTCTGTGGCATCCATTTGGTGTCACCCCAAGGGACACTGCCAGGGGATGGGATGGGGAAGCTATGGGGCAGGTCCCTGATGAACTCAGCCTGTCGCCCCTTCAGGGGCACCCGGAGCTCCCATCCAAAGTGAGCAGTGGTGGTGGGCAGAAAGCACAGCACCTCCCACAGGACGCGGCCTCACGGGCAGATGATGCTGACGAAACCCTGTGTCAGGGCTTCAGCTCTGCCAGGGGTGACAGCAGAGGTCAGCCAGTGAAAGCACTGGCCCTCTTCCAAGCTCAGCCCCGGGCCCAGCTGCATGTAGCCCAGGGGACAGCACAGCCACCCGGGCACTCACTTCCCACCCTGCTGCCCAGGGATGGGGACCTGACCCTGCACTAACTGGTGGCAAACAGGAGCCTGGGCATCTCCAGGAGAAGCCTGAATATGCAGAGCTCACTGCTTCTACTCACCAGGCAGAAACTGCTCCTGGGGCAGCCCAAGGGCAGCCTTCCCTCCCCAGGGAGCTGGGTGCAAGCTGCCCCATGGGGTCCTAGCAGATCCCAAGCCTGCCAGGGTGCGATTTCATAAAAGCATGTAGAGCAGTGGGCTTTGGGCCGCTAAGGCTCTCTAAGCAGTCTGGCATGTGCTGCCCTGCCGACGGCATGGGAGTTGCTTTTCAAAGCCTTTCTGCTTAACCACAAGAACTACAGAAATCTCTTATTTTTTTTCTTTTTTTTTTTTTTTTCTTTTAAATAGCAACACAAATTCTCAGGCCCTCCTGTGACTCTGGGATCTTGAGTCTCTTGATACAGCCAGGGCTGGAGGAGCCTGTAATCCTGCTCTCTTGGAAGCAATAAACCCTCTGGGCACTGGCCTGAGGGGCTGACCCCTCGCCCCATTGTGCCTAGCTTGTCCCCTTTAAAGCAGAGAGGCTCCATCTGCACCTCACCACCAGTGGCTGCCCTCAGTTGCTCAGCTCCAAGCTGTGCCCTCCTAAACAGCGAGGGCTGGGGGACATACCGCATAGAAGGGGGAACCTCTGTCCACTGGTGAGCAGAAACCACCAGCCCGGAGGCTCACAACCTCCTGCTGCTCATCGTCCACATCCACGTCCTTCCTGAGGAAGACCTAGAGACAGGAAGGCACAGTCATGAGCCTGGAAGTGCTCAACCATCCCATCAGCTGGGGGACAGAGAAACATGCATCTGCCTCCCCATGCCCTTGGCCAGAGGAGGCTGCTGGCAGTACCCAGCCACTTGGCCGGGTTCTTGCCCATCCCTCCTTACACATCCAGGACAGGCTCCTCTGTGCAGCATCCGCAGCTCCTGCCATGTGTTCAGCAATTTCCAAGAGCTCCCAAGGTGAGCATCATCTCCATTTTCCCTCCCACACAGACACCCTGTTCCCCCTTGAACCGACTCCAAACGCAGCAGAAACCCATTGAGTGGTCACTACTGCCCCTGGTCATCTAAGGACAGCAGGGCAGAGGTGTGAGGGCACAGGAGGACATTAACTCCACTGGCACAAACCTGAACCCTCTCAGCTGCTGATCCCTGACCTCAGCATGGCTGGGAGGCAAGAATTAAGGGGGTGGCTGGCTTGCAGGGAAGGGCTGGCTCCCTTGGGATGGGGGTGAGGGAGGGAGAGGCAGGAGGAAGGAAGTCCAGGAGCTGCAGCCAGGCACAGAGAGGAGGTCCAGGATGAACTCCATGTTACCTTGTCCTTAATGAAGCCCAGCTCCAAGGGGAGAGGTGCGTGGGATTGACTGGATCATGCACAGGGGCCGTCACTCTCATCCTCTTACAGATGGATCTTTTCTTGAGCTGTCAGACGTAGCAGGCCAGCGTAGGGACCTCCTTCCACTCCCTCCCCAGGGCCACCTTGCTCTCTCTCTAATAGCCATCCAAGTGTGTACAGGGCAACATGAGGTGGTGAGCAACGTGTGCTGCCCCGACATCCTTTCCTCTTAGCAAATGGGTGGTGGATCAGCCAGAGCCAGACCCATCCCACCACACTCGGACCACTACAACCTGGGGACAGTGTCCAAGGGGCAACCAACGCAGGCAAAGCAGGACTCCTTCCCTGCACAGAAAGTGGCTTTCTACCATCTGCAGGATTGCAGAAGAGTCCCAGCATGGATGGCAGTCTAACAACCCTGTAATTCCTGGCAGATGAGCACCACCAAGGGGCCTCCAAAGCCCGGTCGGTGGCTGCAGAGGACAGACCACCACCACACACCACAGCATCCCATCCTGAGTAGGAAGAGCCGGCAGGGAGTGAGGCTGAGTCACAGCCCAGCACGCTCAGTGCATCTGGCAGGAGGGTGCCAGAAGGAGAAGGCACCCCTCTGCCTGACAGCAGGGCTGAAGGATTTGGATGCCATTTAGGGAATGGCGGGGAGCTAAATATGAAATGCTTACGGGGCATAAGACCCTAGGAAGCCCCTCTTTAGGCAGCAGCTTCGCACACCGGCTGCAGCAGGGCTCAGCTGTGGCAGACAAGCCTGCAGGTGACATGGAGCTTTATTTAAAGTCCCCGTCTCACGATCGTCAGCCGCAGGAAAACAGGGCTGCCAGCACAAGGATGACTTCATCCTTCCCGCAGAGCTGTTCTACCGGGACTGCCCCCCCCGGTCCCTCACAACAAACAGCAACCAAAGGCTGGGAGAAGGAGCTGTGTCCTCCTCGGCATCAAGCCGCTCCCCAGCAGGACCCCAGGCTTCACAACACTGGCAAAACCACACATGAAACAAGCGCAGCAGCCTCAGCTGCCTCTTCTGTGAACGCTTCTTTCCCTCATACAGGCAAGATTAACGTGGCACATATGCTCGTCATATTCCCATAGAGAAGTAAGTGCCAGCGACGTCCCATGAGTAGGAAGACCAGGGTCAGACCCTCCTGGGCTGCACTGTGCTCATCCCAGAGGAGTCCCGCATTCCTGCAGGGCAGAGCCAAAGGCCAGGGAGTACACTTGGGAAAGACCCAATGTGTCTTCTGTGTTCCCTTCTGTACTGCATCTGCCATCCCACCAAACACACGTTTTCCCCTGCACCCTGCCTGCCGCTCTGCCACCCAAAGCCCCATCTTGCAGCCTGCCCCCCCCCCTTCCAGCTCCACCCCCGAGGCCGGACAGGAAGGAGGGGCCGATCCTGGCAGCTTCCCGAAAGTCCCGCACCACACTGCAGAGCCGAGCACATGTCCCTGCCTTATATGAAAGAGGGGAGCCCTCATGCCGATGCCCCTTGGGCTGCGCAGGCTCTGGCCGCCCAGTGAGGAGCTGCCTGCGTGCCGGAGGAAGCGGCAGCTCTTGCGAGGCTGTGTCTGGCCTTTATTGGCAATGAGGATGAGGGTTTTGGCAGTGGGCTGTGCGGCTCTCCCTAGCGCTATCCCGCCGGAAAACCAGCTGTTGCGGTTCAGGGTTAAATCCCAAGGAGTTCCTGCCTGCTCTTGCCAGCAGCAGTGAGGTCTCCGAGCTGCCTTCTGCCCCATCCCAGCCTCAACAGGGGGTCTCCCTGACTCGGGAACTGATGGATTCGGACCTGTGTGCCTGCTAAGGCTCAGGCCCAGAGGGTGGGGTTACGGGAGCCGGGGTCCTGCTCTTAGCCTTGTCCCAGCTCTGCCTGGCTGTGTGGCCCTCCATGAGTCACTTCCCTTCTCCCAGCCTCCGTTTCCCCTCTGGTAAATGGGAGAGTGAGTTCTCAGCTCCCCACACACCATTGCCTCATCTCAGGCATCCCAAGAGCTAAGCCTTCCATAGCCGGGCTCTGAGGCAGAGCTTTTCTGGGTCATCTTAGACCTACCAAAAGCTCATCTCCAGCAGAGACCTTCTGCCCTCCAGCCTGGCAGCACACAGAAGGAGGGGACAGGGGAATGTGAGAGAGGACATGGAAAGAAAAGCAACTACCCCAGGAGCCCTGGAGTGGGTGCTACCTCGAGGGCATGGGGACAAGACAGCACGGATCCCTTGGACCTCCCCAGGATCTGCCCTTCCCTTGGCAGCCCGGAATGGGTACTGCAAGGAAGACACTGAGAGGAGGGTACAGGGTATGGGTATCACTTACCTTGAACTGAGCTTTCCCTGGCCTACTGTTGTTGTTGTTGTGGTTCCTCTCGCCGCCTGTCCGGTCAGGGTCCCCGGGTCCCGCTGTGTCCCCTGCGCCGGTCTCCCCATGCCAGTTGGACAGCGTGATCTTCTTGATGGAGCGGGAGAGGGAGCTGCGGTTCAGCCGCTCATCGTCGGTGCCCCCATCCTCGCCGGGGCTGGGGCTACGGGGCTGACCCTCGGGGGCGACGGGGCCGGCCCGGGCGTGTGCCAGGTAGAGGGAGATGCGCTCATTGAGGCTCCGGCGGAGCCCGCGGTGGCTGTCTAGAGCGGAGGTGAGCGCGATGCCGGGGCAGGCGTCCCCGGGGAAGTCGGCGGCACACTTGGGCAGCGAGAGCTTGGTGCTGATGGTGAAGGGCTGCACCTTCCTCGCCGTGCTGCCCGACATCCTCCCCGCTGCCCACCGGCAAGGGGGCAGCCTGGTGGCGCTGCCCGGGCAGCGCGGGGCGAAGCGGCAGCGCGGGGCCCCGGCCGCCGGGGAGCGCCGGTGATGGACACAACTCGGGCGGCGCCAGCTCCTTCCCCGGGGCGGGCGGCTGCGGCGGGGCCGCCCCTTCCCGCGGGGGCGCTCAGCGGGACGGCCCCGCGGCGGGGGGCAGCGGAGCGGGGGGCGGCCCGGCTCCCATGGTCTGGCGGCGAGGCGCGGGCAGCCGTCCGGCCCCGGCTGCCTGGGCTGGGTTGCGCTGGGCGGACCTTCCCCTGACCCAGTCCCTCCTCCCGAGGCGGGCAGGGCTGGCGGGGGGGACTCGCCGCGGCCGGCCCTGCCCTGGCCCGGCTGGCGTCAGTCGTCCACCTTCTTGCGCAGGTTGAGGAGGCAGAGCAGGCAGGTGAGCACGGCCTGGCGGCTCTCCCGGGAGCGCAGCCGGCGGCCCAGGCGGCGGAGCGGCGGCAGGAGGCGCTTGCGGGCCAGCGGCAGCAGGCGGGCGAGCAGGGCGCGCAGCAGCGGGGCGGCCAGCGGCGGGGCGGGCATGCTGCCCCCTGAGCCTGCGGGGACACCGTCAGACCCCGGCACCCCCCGAAGTGCCTTGGCGGACCGGGGGGTGCCCGGGAACTCCTCACGCTGCCATGCGGGACCCCGAGCGCGGCGCTGGGACGTCTGCACCGCTCCGGGAGCAGGGGGCTGCTCGCGGGATGCTCGGAGGAGAAGCCCTGGAGGGGACTGCTGTCCTCCCCACCTCGTTCCCTCTTTTCTTACCCTCCTTGGAATCGTTCCTGCTCCGGGACACCTCTCAGCCCTTTCTCCCAGAGGAGCCTGCACTGTTCAGCTCCCCCCACGAGGACCTGCCACCAGCCCAAATGGCAGGAACAGCTCCAGAGCAAGGGACAGCAACAAAAAAAACAACAACCCCAAAAACAGCTGCCCATTTAAATGCCCCCTCCTCCTAAGCCAGACACATGCTCCCTGTAAGCGATACTGCTCCTCAGCCCAGGACCCCGTTTGTTGGGGTGGCAGTGCTGGGGGAAGAAGGGGGGTGAGGAAGGAACAACATCTGCCTACCACAGAAATGCGGGCTGGCAGGAGGGGGTCCTGTTTCACTACAAGCTTCACCGAAGCCCTGAGCAGGCAGCCAGATCCAAAATATTCCTGTCATTCTCTGCCAGCACCAGCGATTGCCACCCTGCTCTCACAAGGGCTGGGAATGCAGAGCAGTTGGACTGCCAAGGAGAGCAGGGCAAGAGGTGGCCCAGGGCATGAAGTGCTGAGGAGCAGATGGGCACTACTCTGGGGAAGAGCTGGGATCTGGCTCCACGTGGGGCTCCAGAGCAGGCTGGTAACCAATGTCCCATGCTTTCCAGCTGTGCTCCCAGGCTGAGCTAGCTTGGGGCAAGCAGCCAAGATCCTGCAGGCCAGGAGAGTGCAAGCTACCCAAGGTGCAGGCAGGAAGGTCCACGGCTCATGTCCGTGCCCTTCCGCTTCCCTCCTGCTCCTAACCTTTGTTTTGTTCCTGGTGGCTGTCTGGCTTCATTTCCTCCCCTTGTTGTTCTCTTCAAAAACCCTGCCAAAGCCCTATTCTTGGCTCCCACTCGAGCAGAATTTAGGCAAATGAACCGATACAAGGAACTAAAAGCTACTGCTCCATCTCCCAGCCTGCCTGATGCAAGCTGTCCCTTGCCCAGGGAGTCCCATCCAAGGGCTGTGAGTTCAGCCAGGGTGACCTTTCCCAGCCTTGTGGATTCTTCTCAAGGAGCCAGCCATGGATGAGGAAAGCAGGCTGGCTGCGCCTCAGCACAGAGACATTGTGTGCCGAAACTAGAAACAGCTCCCCAGGGGCTCAGCTCCAGGCCCAGGAGCGGCAAGGACTGTGCCTGACGTCAGCCCCTTGGGACCGGCCTCCTGCAGGCTCTCTAGCACTGGATCTGCCATGGTCAGAGGGCTCACTCCAGCACACTGCTCTGCTGTGCGCTGCTGCCAGCCCTGTGCCGGCGGTGTTACAGGAAAGGGTGAAGGTAGCAGGAGCCAAAGTTTTGGTGCAGCTGTGTCAGGGTTTACATCTCCCTGGGAGGGAGCCTCTCCCCTTTTACTGGGGAGGCAGCGGGTGCAGTGTTTGGCCTGCTCTGGAGACTCCTGGGTTTGCTGCGTCTGATCCCAGGAAAGTTGCTGCCTCGCTCAGTGCCTCTGTTTCCCCAGCAGTACAGCCCTAGAGGAAATACTCCTCCCCATGCAAAGGGCCTGTGCAGCGCCCTGCCTCTGAGCCTGCTGGGCGCAACTGGGATCAAAAGTGAAGTGTCCCTGGTCAGTGGTAGTGACCGCAGTGATGGAGAATGGAGCCTTACTTACTCCTAGGAAAAGCCCTGCTGAGCCCAGGGAACAGCCCATCCTACCATGCCTGCCAGGGGAATCCTGTCCTCCAGTCCCAAAGGGAAAGGAAGGTGCCGGACAGGTGCAGAGGTGTTGCAGCACGTTCCTGGGGACATTGCATCTGAGCATTATGTGGCAGAGATACACAAGGGAGAGAATGGCAAATACCTTGGGAACAAAGGGGCTTCAGTGTGCGGCTTCTGCAGAAACCTGTTCCTTCCCAGGGAGCGAGCACAGGTAACTGCAGAAGGGGTTACCCGGCTGCAAAAGCCAGATGTTTGCAACATCCCAGCGCTGGGCAGAAAGTGGGGCAGGGCTTGTTTGCCAAGCTCTTGGGTCTCATAGCGAGGCAGATCTTGGTCTCTGCCAAAAATGCAGACGTTGCCAAGCTGCTGTCCCTATCTGGAGGGTCAGGGGGTTTAGCCTCCTTTCACAGTTGAGCAAAAGCACAGCCCAGGGAAGCAAAGGGACTTAATCCTGTGCCTCTGGTGAGTCAGGCAAAGAGCTGGAAAGGGAGTGCAACCTTGAAAGAAATCAAGATTCTGTCAGTATCTACTTCCAAACACAAGGTTTAAGGCACTGGAGTCCTGCACCTGTGTGTTTCCTGAACCAAGGACCTTGCTTTAACCTTTCTGATCCATGGAGGACTTTCTGCTCCTGCAGTCGCTGCTCTCTCATCCCTTTTTCTTGTCTATCCTTCATCCCTCTTCACCAAGGGGCTCAAAATCCCTCACCAGGTGGCCAGATATTTTTTCACTGGGTATGTATTGAGGCCTCCCTTTTCAGGCACCCATTTTCTGTATCATATCAATTGCCAGGGAGGGCAGGGATCCACTTCCTGAGACCAAACAAGAACCATGTACCCTTTTAGCGCTTATTTCTCTCAGGTGGTCAGTTAGCAGCTGGACATCAGTGAACAAGGGGCAGGAGATGCCCCAGGCATTGCAAGGCAGGCCCAGGGTCTCAGGACCTGCTGGTCAGCCTGCTGCCAGGACAGCATCTCTGCTTCATGGGACAGCAAGACTCTCATGCTACAGGGGATAGGACAACCATTAGCACCTACCAATCCTTAAACTGCTACATGGTGAAGGCTCCAGAGGATTTAGCAGGGAGCAGGGGTGCTGGGAAGCAGGGTATGGTCCTTGGGCATCTCTTCACAAGGTGTGCAACATCTGCTGCAAATCTTCCTCTGGCATCGCACTGGGAGCTGACAGAATAGCGTGGGAGGAAGATGAGAGCTGGCCAACAGTCCTTTCTTTGTGAAGACCTCATCCTTCCAACAGGGACCCAAAGGAGTGTTGGTGGGGACACCACTGGTGCCTGGCCCCACACAGGAGAAATATGGGCCATTGCTGCTGGGGAGGGACATGAGCACTATAAATAGTTTGCTTAACGCACCATGGACAGGCCCTGGAACACCCCAGCCCAGGCAAATTCCCTGTTGCTGGCACTGGGATGGCAGCTGTTGAAAAAGGCTGAATCCAGCAGCTGCTGCCGGCGCTCACTGCCCCCACTCCATGCCCCCATTCCTCCCACTCCCCTCATGGGGCAGCTGAGCCCTCGGCATCCCATGGTGCGGGTGACAAGGCATGCCAAGGAGGTGCCAGATCTCAGCGTTGGTGCAGCTCCCTGCGCTGGCGGCTGCAGGATGCTCCCATCTCTCTGCTGATGGAGCCAGAGAGATGAGGAGGATGGGAGGGGGTTTTCCTCCCTGGCAGCATCGGCGACACTGCTGAGCCTGGCCAGGAGCCGTGAGGCCACGCAAGGCTGGTGGCAGCTGCTTCCCACACGCTTGCCTTCGGCTGCAGCTCTCCCAGCCCCAGCTCGGGATGCTGGGCTGCGCCATGGCCCCCCGCCAGCCTGCTCCGCTCGTACAAAGGCCCTTTGTGCCCACGGGAATGACATTGCTGCAGCCACGGGTCCAGGGCAGCGCAGATGGGATCAGAGCCCAGCTGCCAGGGCAGCTGGTGGGGCCAGGTGGGATCGGGCTGTGGTCCTTCCCCCCATCCTGTGCATGCAGGATGGACATGAGCAGCTGGGGTGTGGGGGGACCCCAGCATGGGCAGACTGCTCTGGATGCGGGAGGCAGGAGCACAGGGCATGGGGTGCTGGGGAGCAGGGTGCTACTGCTCACCTGGGGCACTCCTGCCCATGGGATAGGTGTGGAAAAGGTGGGAGCACCCATCACAAGACAAACCCAAAGCTAGCAGCAGTTTTGCCCACATGTGGCCCCCAGTCCCCCTTGTTCCTCACCTTACACTGGCATTTAAGGACTCTGCTGGGCCTCCTCCTTGTCCCAGGGTACAAGAGGGATGATCCAGGCTACTCCTGGTGGCATTAGCTGGGGCCCCCTTGCCTGCTGGCCCCCCGCCAGTACTGGTCTGCCAGCTGCTGGGCGGCGAGGGAGGGGATGTGCCAGCTGGCCCCTGAGGGAGGGAGGGAAGGAGGGGGCTTCTGGTTAGGCTATGGGGGCACCTGTCATCCCAAAGCCAGCCAGTACACCCTACCCTACAATTTGGCTTGTGTGTGTGTGTGTGTGATAAGGCTCCACAGCTGGGACAGCAGTCACAGCTCTGCATGCTTGCTCCTGTGTCTCGACCCCACCTGAGTCCTTGTTTTGCAACGGCTTTTGGGTTGAATGCAGGAGCAGGGACTCTGGACTGGCAAGCTGCAAGGTACCCCCACCCCATGGGAGGCAGCTCAGCTCACAAGTAGCCAAATGCAAGTAGCCCACCTCCATCTAGCCCCAGGAGAGAGCAGCAGATGGGGTGCTCCTTTCTGCCATCACACCTCAGTTTGCCTCCATGCTCTGAGTCAGGTTGGCTTGTCCCAGAGCTGGGTGCTCTCCCACTGCAGGCATACTGGTCCCAGGGAGCAGGCCTGGCACTGAGATGTTGGGGGAAATGAGGGGCACAAGGGGCACTCCTTTTCCAAATGCTGAGTCCCCCTAGGGCCACCTGGGCTGTGATGCCCTTCTGGGGTGTCAGCAAGGGGCAGGATGTGCACGCTGACAGCAAGTCCTGCTCTTTGCCATGCAGTGGAAAGCCCCACCACCCAGCCCCCCACCGTCATTTTGGTGGAAGGCTTTTGCCTCCAGCTGTAATCTGAGAAGAATCAGGGAAAACACCAACCTCTCTCAGCCCCTATCAAGAGTCACATACCTTGCGTGGTCCCTTTTCAGGGTCCAGAGCTGCAGGCTGCCCCAACTCCCATCCACTCCATGGTTAAATCCATGCTATCCAAGCAGACCTTTTCCCCGTACCCAACCTCCCCAAGACATTTCCTCCCCTTTCTTTAAGAGCAGATGCACCTTTGCTGCCACTGACACTGAGGAGCAAGCACTGGCTTTTCCTCCGCTTGAAAAATCCCTTGGGATAACCAAACAGCCCTGCTAACAGCATAATGCTAGCTCTCACTTTGAGGAGCAGTGCTTCCTTACACGGTGCTTCCCCTATGTGTCCCCTGCACAGGAAAAGGCGAGTTATAAAATCCCAGGGGATATAGAATCCCCATTCCCAAGGCAAGACCTGCACCTTGTGGTGCTCCTCCGTCTGTGCCCCAGGCTGGGCAAGATGTGTGTCCTGGGCTTGGCTCTGCACCTCATTCCCCGAAACCCAGGCCACAGTGAGCAGAGGGAGAACACGACCCCCAAGTCAGTGCCCGGGGCCACATGTCCAACAGATACGTTTATTCCTGGAGCACACAGTGAGCGGGACGAGGAAGCGGAGCTGCTGGGCAGGCAGCAGTGGTTATTGCTGCAGGAGCATCCTCCAGCCATGACGGAGGGCTGGGGGGGAAGCTAACTGCCTGCCTGTAAAGGACTGGCCATTGCCCACCGCCAAGCTGGAGCCACCCTGTTAACCCAGGAGAAGGGGAGGGTAACGGAGGAGCACAGTCAAGTGCAAGAATGTTGGCACTGGGGTCCATCTGCACAGGGCAAGGAGCCCAAGGGAAGAGGAGGGTGTAACTGCATGGGATGGTGAAGGGAAGCACGAAGAAATGTGTGCAGGAGAACACCCCATTCAAACCACCAACCCCTCCTCTCTGGGGGAAGGCACTGCCGCTTGGGTTCTGCCCCCCCTGTCCTGCTGGGGACCGTGAGCAGGGGGCAGGGATGTCCTAGGAGCTACCAGAGACAGGAGGGGAGGCCAAGCCAGTGTGATGGTGGTGGCATTGCTGTGTCCATGCGGAAGAGGGGCTTCTGCTGCACTACAGGTCATGCATGTTCATGCAGCGCAGGAGCCCACAGACATTCAGTGCTGAAGTTGCAGGGCTTGACCAGTGGTGGGGCAAAGTCATGGGCATGGAGGTGGGACGGACGTGTTGAAGGCCACACAGAAGGAGCCACTGGGCTCTATGCTTTGGTCGTGCTTAGCGGTGAATGCAGTGTAAGGGTATCAAGGAGTATGGCCCTTCCTCCTCCCAGAAAGCCACTGCAGCTCACTGGGAACCTGCTGCCTCTGCCTGAGCAGGGCAGTACCTGCTGATGCTCCCAGGCATGGGCACAGAGACAGGCAACGTGCTAGTGGGAACAGGGCAGCATAGAGCAAGCGATAAGAGTCCTATCCCCCCTTTTCCCCTGCAGCTCCTGCTTCTCCCTGCTCTGCAGATGTCCCCCAGCCCACTCCTTCACTCCTGCCCTGCTCAGTGCAGAGATGCACAGGTATCCTGTGCTGCATGCCCTCCTCCTGTTCTGGGCTGGGGAGAGAGGAGCGGGAGTGGAAAGAAGCCCAGCTAAGAAAAGGAGAAGGGCATCCCCTGGCTGCCTTGACTCCTGGTCCACTGATGAGGGTGGCATGAGGCTTGTCAAGAGGCAGGGCTGGTAGGTCAGCGTGGGATGGAGCAAGGGGGGAAGAGTATCCTGTGTCCATAGATCCAAAGGGAGGCACTTGGAGGGGGCCTGGGTGCTGGGGTGTCCCAGTGGTAGAGTATCCGTCATGGTTCCTAGCCACACATCGTCAGCAGCAGCCACTGGGAAGGAGAGGGAGAAGGGATGAGAAATGTGTGGCCTGCAGCAATCCTGTTTTCTCATATCGATCTTTTCTGGTCTCCTTCCATACCCAAGTTGCCGGAGGGCTTTCTACCACCCCACTCCATGTGCCCCATTCACCCTAGTGCCTGATCTCCTTGTCTTCCACCCTACCTCCCACATAACTCAGTTCTCACCTCAGTGAGGTTCATGACGGCCGTGCCAGTGCCTTCAGTATCCATGCTCTGGAAAAACCCTACAGGGGCACAAGAGCAAGGTGAGCAACATATCCCTCTGTGCCTGCCTGTCCTGCCCCAGAGCCACACTCACTGAACATGGCCTCCAGCTTCACGAGGCAGCAGACAAAGTTGTCGAAGTCCACTCCCATGTCATCATCTGCATAGCGGGCCACCACCACCTGATGCAGCTTGTTGTTCAGCTTGAAACCTGCAAGGCAGAGAGCAGTCAACATGCCAGGGAGGCAGGAGAGGAGGGTGTAACTATGGCAGTCCACGTTACCCAAAGGGGCCATCAACCCACCCAATGAAGGATCTATGTCCAGCCTCAGCAGGAAGAGAATGCTCCCCCTGAAGCCATGTGACTAGTTAGATCACTGATCCACCCTGGGCCTCTGCTTTGCCAGGATGGGACCCTGCAGCTCACAGGAGGACAGAGGTTGGGACCACCTTATGTGCATGCCTAACTCTGAGGCGCCAGCACTTGTCACAGGGGGGATGGAGAGAGCCCAGTATAGTCATGGACCACATCTCACTGCCACGACAGGCTGGCTTGAAGCATGCAATATAGGCTGGTTACACTCTTCTCCAGCTACTTGGGACTGTGCTGACAGCAGGAGCCCCGTTACCATCCTTCTCCAGACTTACCAGCTGACTCTAGAGCCATGCGCATCTCGTAGGAGCTCATGGTGCCAGACTTATCCAAGTCATGCTGCCGGAAGATTGTCTGCAAAAGCATCACAGAGCCATGAAGAGCAGGCTGTGCAGCCTGGCTATCCCCTCACCCTGCTGCTCCTGCACAGTGTGCCATGCCTGCCGCTCCTCCTCACCAGCCAGCTCCGGATCTTGTTCCACAGGATCTGGAACTCCACCAGCCCAAGGCGGGCGCTGCCATCTTTCTGGGGAGAGCGGGTCAAGGGGAAAGCAGCCAGCAAAGGGGGTGGTGTAAAGGCAAAGCTATGAGATCCCAGCCAGATAAGAGAAACCTGGCCACACTTGCTCTGCCCAGTTTTCCCTCCCAGGTTCCCCTCTCTGTCCTGCCACATTAGCAAGATCAGAGCTTGCAACCCAGCAGGGAAAGTACAATGCTTAAGCTATCTGGCATCCACTCCCTGGGAGCAGCTGTGCTGCTGCTGTAGGAAGCACACTGCTGTGGTGTCCTTGGGAAAACTGGGCTGGCCTGCAGTGAAATGGGATGCTGCAGGGCCAGTCTGGAGAAGAGCTTGGAGGTGCTCCTCTACGTGATCCCTCAGCTCCGTGTCCTTTTGCAGGCAAGAATAAAGACCATGGCTCCTGTCACTTTATACCTCTCGTCCTCAACCTGCTGGGCAGGATGGTTTAGGGAGATAGGAGCCCATCAGCCCTTATTACCTTCAGGGAGTGCCATGAAGGCTGGGTGGCACCACAGCACATCAGGCTGGGGAGCCTACGAGGAGGGGAAGCAGAGGGAGCTTTGTCCTGGAGGGGAAGGCTGAAGGCAAGAGTGGGGCTGGGCTGGGCTTCTGGTGGCAGAGCCAGGGCCCAAAGCAACAGGGAACTGATGGCCCTTGCCACAAAGAGCTGCTAAAGCCCAGGGATGTAAGGCAGGTGGCCCTGAAGCCACAAGGATTCCTCCCTCCCTCCTCTGGTTGAACAGCCTTGGCACAGCCAGAGAGCCAAGCCCCAGCTCCTGACAAGTCTTGCCAGCAGGCTGAGCACCAGGGAAGCTGGCTCCTGCTCACAGCACCAAGAGGATACATCCATCAGGTTGACCATGTTGCGGCAGGAGTCCAGGCTGAACCCATCCGTCTTCAGATCTTTGTCTGAGGAGGAAGAAGGAGGTTGAGCACATGCATCAGAACCCAGCCTGCTGAGCAGGCTGCAGGGAGTGAGGGGCAGGGAGGGCAGCGCTTACGTCTAGCGAGGACTCTGTTCAGGATAGTGCGGAGCTCAAAGACACTGATTTCCATGTCCTGCAGCAGGAGCAGAGTTAGCAGAACCCCTTCCCTGCTCTCCACCCGACTTGTGGTCATTCCTCCCTCTCCTGCCTAAATGTGTCTGCCTCAACCACAAAACATTAGGGTGCTACTGCATTTCCTGCATGCCCAGAAGAATTTGGGCCACAGCTGGATGCCCCTTCACCACCCCTGGGGACAGATGGGCCGAACAGCAGCAGAGATGGACTTGTCTGTAGGATGGAACTGAGGCAAGCATGGAGTGGGTTGGAGCTCACAGCCAGGGGTCCCATCCTGTCCCCTCCCCATTCCAGGGTCTCCCAGAGCTCAGCACAGCTGTACCCACCTCCCCTGCCAGCTGCTGGAACATGTTCTTGAAGCCATCCTCTATGTCATCCTCAGTTATTTCCTCCTGGGGTGATGCAGGCCAGAAAGAATTCGTTAGTGGTCAAAGCTGGGTTCTGCCCTGCCTCCCAGGTTCAGCAAACCTGAACTGGAAGGGAAGTTCTTCCTCTCATCCTTGTTACTTCCCATATCCCCATCACCTTGACCCTGCCAGCCTCTCTCCAGCCCCAGTGACATCCCAAGCCCAAGCAGCCACCTCCAGCCTTCAGCTCCCCCTCCCAAGCCGCAGAGCATCAGCACCAAACAAAACCAAAGCAGTGGCTCCTACTTCATCTGCCAGTTCTGCTGAGATCTCCTCGTCCAGCTCCCTATGGGCAGAAAAGAGGAAAACAAAGTGATGAGCAGCCAGCAGCCTGCCTGCGCTGGGGAACTGTCCCATCACCCACAGACACAGGGTGTCCCCAGGCCAGGCAGAGACTCACTCCGTGTCCGACTGCTTCTCGGTGAAGACTCGCAGGACGAAGTCGGCCTCCTTGTGTGGCTCGAAGGTGGAGGGCACCACGATGTACTCACCGGGGGGCAGCCGGATCTGGTTGCTCACCTCCCGCAGGTTGATAAAGGTCTCAGACCGTGCCCGTGACTGGTTTCGCAGGAAGAAATCCTTCTTCAAGTGCACGTTCTGGCTGCCCCGGGCCTGAGGAATGAATGTGCTTGGGGACCACAGCCCCGCAACGTGGAGGGACCAAAGCCAGCCTGATCAGGCAGCACATTCCTACCCTGCCCATCCCAGCAGCCATCCCAGCAGGAGTCGGTCCTCCCTCAGGGAGGTGCCCAGCACCCATTAGCAGAGCACGCTGGGAGCTCCCACTTCACTGGGTGCACAGCTACCATATCACTGGGTGCACATGTATGCATGCACTTCTGTTAACTCATTCCTGCCCACTCTTGAGCTCCCATCCAGGAGAGGCAGGCTCTGGCAGCTCAGGACGTACCTCCTCAGGAACCTGCGGAGAGGAGAGAAGAGGGGAAAAACCCATCAGAATCCCAGTACCTGTCCCCATCCCTTACAGCTGCAGGGAGCACAGGACAGGGCACATGAACCCACAGACTGGCAAAGCAGGTGGGAAAGGTTTCCTTGAGGACTGGGGTGCCAGATCGAGGCAAGACTGGCAGGGATGAGCGTCCCAGGAAGCAGCACTGGGGCGGGCAGGGGTTACCTCGTAGACAGCGAAGCCGATGGTGTGCATGTCACCCCCGACCCGCCGCTCCCGCCGCCGATGCTTCTGCATTAGAGCCACCAGGAAGCTGCAGGCCACCTCGTCATCCCCGGGGTCATCATCCTCTTCCAGCAGCTTGATCTTAAACTGGGGGTTGATCCAGAATGTGGCTGGAAGGCAGAGGATGTGCAGATGGAACACCCGGTTCCGTCGCACTGCGGAGTGAAGCAGCGGAGGAGGGAGGTACCTGGGTGATTCCTGCAGCCCCCGGCAGTGCTTCCCCGGCGCCATGTGCCCTCGAACACTTGCGTGTGCCATCTGCTGAGCTCATCCTTGGTGAGGGCATCAGGGGTCAGGTTGCAGATCTCCAGCCTGGAGAACTCCCTCATGAAGTCCCGGAAAGACATCCTGTGGGAGCAGGCAGGGGCTGAGGCCAGGGCACTCCTTGCGTTAGGAAGGGCAGTGCAGGCAGCTCCGGGCCCAGCCAAGATTTTGGCAGAATTAAGTGACAGCAGGAGCTTCTTCTATCCTGAGCAGTTGTGGCTCATTTAAAGCCCACTGCTGGGTCTGGGGAAGAAGGGATGTTTACCCTTCCTAGATGCTTTGCATTTTGTTGGGCTGAATTTCTTTGAACAGAGGAAAATTATTAACCAGATGAGATGAGAAAATGCTAGCAGGTTCCCCAGTGCTGGAAAGCCAGCTCATAAACGCAGGTCATGCGTTTCAGGACCTCTCCTCAGCTTCTCTGCTCCTTTTCCAGGCTGGCTGTTGTAAAAGAGCAGCACTGGCACTCACCAGAACTCTCCATCCTCCATCTTCAGCTGCAGCTCTTCCCTGTCACCAGGGTCAATGTTGTCCCACTCGGAGGAGCTGCAATAGCAGGAGAGAGACAATTAGATGAGAACTACTCAAGGTGAACTGAGAGCACTTCAGAGCTGGCCCTCAACTGCTCCCCTCTCTGATGTGAGGGGCACTGCACACTGAACCTCCCCTGCAGTGCCATGCTGTGTGTGCAGTGCCCGCTTGCCTGCTCTCCCGGCTGTCCAACTCACCCATCGCTCCAGGCTCCTGTCCACTCCACCTGACCCCAGGGGTTCCTGATGCGGATGAGCTGTTCCTGCTGACCCCGATAGTTCACCTGACAATAATGAGACATGGGACGCTGAGCCCATGCCACTGGCCGGGCTGTTTTATTGCCATTAAAGTCTCATCTAACCAACTCACATCTCTGAAGGCTGTGACAGAATAGGCATGGCCCTTCACCAGCTTCTTGAAGGTCACCGCTTCCATATCAAAGGCACTTGTGATCTGAAGACAATGTGGAAGACTCAAGTGAATACGATTAAAACACCTAACCCTTTCCCTCCACCATGTGGAGAACTCTCCTGCCTTTGCACTGCTGTAGCCAAGAGAAGCAGCAGGTAGCAGCTCCCTGTGCTCAAATGCTGCTGGCTGAGGACAATTTAAAGACGGTTTCCCTGCTGGAGGATGCTGAAGATGCATCAGAGAACCATCCAAACTTCTGAAAGCATGAGAGGGAGCAGCTGGAAACCCCTGCTCCAGGTAATTTGCAGACACTGTCACAAGACATGGCCAGAGCTGTAGGCAGGCCCTCGTTCAACAGCCTGCACTCAAGATGGATATTCCTGCTCCATCCAAAGAAGCCCATTCAAAGCAACTGGGTTGCAGCCCCACGCTAGCTCTGACAGGGTGCTCTGCTAAGAGGGGAAAGAAGTAACCTCCTGCCCAGTGTCCCAGCGAGGGCCCTGCTGACACATTCTCAGGCTGTGAGCCCTTGCTTTGGAGAGCCCCTGGCCCATCCCACCGCACCACTTACGTCGATGGAGCAGCCGAGCAGGGAGCCCCTCTCCAGCGCCTTGCGGATGATGTGGCCCATGTTGCGCGGCGGCCGTTTGAGGTCGTACATCTCTGCCACGCCGCCAGTGAAGTCCTCGAAGCCCTCGGTGGTGCTGCCCCCTGAGAGTGACTCGTAGCAGCCATTCAGCCTGCACAAGAGGGAGGGGTGAGGCGGCAAGGACACAGCCACTGCTGCTCCCCTGGCACCCAGCACAAGCAGGGACAGGGATAGAAGAGACCCCCTCCCTCCACCCCACACTGTGAGGTGCCCTGTCCCCAATATGCCTGCCTCAAAAGGACTCACTTGGCATAGGCCTTCTCCAGCAGAGCACTCCAGAACTCTGTGCACTCTGCCGAGTGGACAAACAGGAGCTCCCCGTCCTTGGTGGGCAGCTGGTCATCCACCACCACGTCCACCCATTCACCGAACTGCCAGATCTGCAGGGTCAGGAGAGAGTGGAGTGAGCTCGGACCATCACAAGACTCGCTCGTCCCTACCCTCAACCCACCACCCTCCGTCCCACCCCTGAAGCCAACCATCTGTGGAGGGTCAGGAGCTCCCAGTGCACCTGGAAGTGGAAGATGCCGGCATAGTCCTCCTGGAAGCTCTGCCCGTGGGGCACCACGCGGTGCAGGAGCTCCTCGTTGAGCGTGAGGGAACCGATGGCAGCCAGCAGCCAGCAGTCACCTGGGGAAGGAGAAGAAGCTGGTGTGAGCACCCACCACATCCCTAGCTGGGGTAGGTGGTGGATGTGTAGGAGCCTGTGGTGTGCTCTTCTTGCAAACATTTGGGGCTCCCCAGCTCCAAAAGCACGTGGAGAGAATGGAGAAGGTCCAGCAGACAAACAGAGCTCAGGGAGCCAGGCTTGCTCAGCCTGCTACAGAGAGGTGTGTTAGCTCAAAGCAACAGGGAACAATCCTCCCTGACCAGGATCCTGTGTCCAGACCACTAATAACCCCCTCCTGCAGCCATTTATCTAGACCCTCCTGGGGCTCATTCCTGACTGCCCTCCACATCGCAGACAGCGAGTTCTGCAGTGGAATTACACTGTGCATTTAAAAAAACATTCTACCCGGTGAGTGGTTTAACACTGTTTCCCTGGCTCCTTACACTGGGAGCAGCACCTCTGCACATTTCCTTCCAAGTGCTCTTAACCACAAGTGCTGCTCCAGGCCAGCACTGCACTTTAAATTCTTTGCCTTGGTTCTCCATTCTCCTTTGCCTTTGAAGCGTGTCACACCTTAGCCTGGAGCCTGGAAAACCCCTACCGGGCTGTGGCTTGACAAAATGGCAATCCACACTTTTTAATGACCAACTGAACATCACCACAGTGCTCTGGGCTGTTAGGTGCTCCAGTTACCACCTCGAGTTTGTTCTAATTACTGGATGTGTTAAATGTGGTCAGCCCTGAAAACAGAGTGCTGTGTGTCTACTCCCAGTTGGGTACCCAACTTGATCCAGATCAGGATGACGCTCTTGGTGGTACCCGGATCTGGTTTCAGTTGCCAGCCCTGACAGCGTACCCAGCCCATTAACACTGCTCTCCTTGTTTCAGTGCCTCTGCCTTGGGAGACACCCCTGGAGAAATAAGAAATCACCATCTGTACTTTATAGCTCCCTTCTCAGTTCCTTTCTGCCACATACTCCTTTGCAAGCACTTTGTCATGACCAGCACAACCTCACCTAAGTTTGTTACTGCCATCCAGCTGCCATCCTTCACCGTTCACCAAAGCAAGGAGCTCTTTGGAGCAGCTCCTGGCACTGTTGTCAGCATGTGTCAGGCATGGATCCACCCCACATCTCCACTGATCACAGCGTGATCAGGCTGTGCACACATCAACCCATCAACAGGTGTCCCCCCCCTTCCAGTTTCCACCGCACTAAATGGGAAAGGAGCTTTGGTACAGGGATGGTTGTGCAGAGGCCGGCATGAAAATGCGCTGCATGGGCCTGCAGAAAGGTGCTGTGAAACTGCTCCACTCTCAACCTCTTCTCCAGCCCTCCCCAGCCACTGTTCTCCAGACCAAGATCTGGGCACAGAGCTCCAGCACTCACCCAGAGCCCCCTGGCAGATGTCTGTCCGGGTTGCACCTCCAACGATGAACTGAGGGTCATCCACTAATTCCTGCAGGAAGACAAGGGAGTCAGATGCTGGATCTTGGCAGGGCCTGGGATTCTGGGAGACTGGCACCCACTGCAGCTCTGACTCGAGAGGAAGGGTCTAGGGTCCCTGAGAGACGCATGCCACCTGCCCTCTGCCAGGGAAATCTCTGCCTGGGGACTGCAACTCCAAGGCCATCAAGGTAAGGCTGCTATAGCCGTGGGAGGACACAGCTAAATAGACTAATGGCATTCTCCTTGCACTCGTAGCACCAGGAGATATAGATCCTCAAAAGCCCCAGTTACCAAGGGTGACACATCCATGCCACGACACCTAGAAGCAATGACATAGCCCACACATTGTAAAGCCCACAGCCTGCTGCCCAGAGGAAGCAGGGCCTGCTAGACATGATGCTTTTTCAAGTAGAAACTCATGGGGCATTGGCCCTTGGGAAATGAGGTTATGCAGCACTGAAGGGACTGAGCACTGAGAGGAGCAGGGCAGCAACAGGCTGCAGCCTGGTAAACCACATCAGTGCAGACACTGCAGGGCAGGGATGCCAGCCCAGCCCAAGGAGAACCAAGCCCGTCACTTACCGACGGACGTTTCCACTCCACCCCCCTTGTCTTGCTGGAGTGTGGCCCCAGCTCCTTGAATCCGAGGGCAGAAGGGCCAGCTGGGAACTGGGGGTCCCTAAAGAGGGTGCCGCTCTCAATGCACTCCTGTTTGAGAGCCTCATAGTCCTGGTTGAGGTACTTGATGGCGTTGTGGTGCTGGCCGAGCCCCTCGGCCTTCAGGCGGTCTCTCTGCAGACGGGCAGCCATCCCACCAAAGGGATTCATGGCAGGGCACCGGCAGCCCTACCTTCAGCTCCGCTCCCTGCAATGAAAATGGAAAAGCATGGTGGGGCTGAGGCAGGGCCCGCTGCCCAAGCAGCCCCTGGGGACATCAGCCATTTCACATCCACGGCTGCACCCACAATTCACCACCATTCCCACAGCAGGGACCTTCTCCATCAGCATTGTCCTGGGGCAGCGAGCAGAGCCGGCACACAGAACATCCCCGGGGTGCCTCAAGTGCCAGGAGCATCACCCCAAATCCCAGCCCCAGCCCGGCCCCGTTCTGAGCCACGGCCTCCGGCCCGGCCACCGCAGCCCAGCTCTCTTTAGAGGACACCACAGGAGCAGAGCCCCTTTGAGGGCTGGCTGGGAGGAGGCAGCCCAGCAGCGGCCCGACCGCGGCTCTCCCGTCCTGTCCTGTTCCTGATACACAGAAGCGCCGCGCCTGGAGGAATTTCTGCCGCTTTCCGCCTTCCCACAGCCTCTCCTCCCGGCGCAGCTTCCCGGTACCTTCCCTCATCCCGGCTCCTCCTCGTCCGTCGCAGCCGGGAGGGCGTCACGGGCCGCCCCGCAGTGTGTCCCAGCCCCTGGGCTCCTCTCCCATTCCGTCTCCCTCGAAAGCCGCCGCGGCTGCCTGAGCACTGAGTCAATAGGGCCGGGAAGGGAGGAGCCCGGCGGGCGCAGGCACAGCTCTATCTATGGGGCCGGCGAAGGACGAGGGAAGGAAGGGGCGGGAGGGGACGGACCTTCCCGGCGCACACACGGGCAGGGTGACTCAAACCAGCGGAGCAGCCTGCGGGAGGCACCGGGGAAGGGCTGTGGGGTGCAGCGGGGCACCCCGGCACCAACAGACCGGGGTAGGGCAGAGCCCCCACCCCGCACCGGTCGCTCCAGTGCTGCCTGGTTCAACCGTCCATGCAAGCAGGGTCACCTGCAGCAGAGCCAGGGGGCAGGGGGCAACACCATGGGCCCGCTGGTGTTTGCCGCTTACCCTGCCCCACTCCCCCCATCTTAGCTCCCTCTCAGTACTGAATATGCCAGAGGTTACCCCACACAAAGCAGTGGAACAGTCCTTGGGTAAATAACCCAGGAGCCAGTGACCCGTGCAGAGCACTGGGCTGGGGTGCCAGTGCTGGCCTGCTGCATTCCCAGTGCCCCATCCCAGGGAGCAGCGTGCATCCTGGCACCGGAGAGGTGGCTCTCCTTGTTCTGCAGTGCTGTCATAGCAAAGGGAAGGCAGGCAACAATGGAAAGTGCAAGCTCCTATGCAAAAAGCATAAACTTGGCTGCTAACCCAAGGGGCTGCCCTAACCAGGAGCTTTTTAGGAGGGAAATCCACTCCTCTCCCTCACTCTGCCTGCCCTGGGATGCTCTAAACTCACTATTTTTCTCCAAGGCAGCACCAACCCTCCTATCCCCTACAATGGCTCCAAATTTATGGCCCTTTTCCACCATCTCCTCCCTCCCACTCCTGCTCTGCAGCCAGCACCCTGGCAGCCTCTCCCAGCAGCAAGGCACTCGCTGCCTGCAGAGCTGGTGGGATGGCTCCTCTGGTCCAGGCCTCTGCCCAGAGCCCAGGGGCACCGTGGGAGGAGGAATCCCAAACGCAGTCACACACAGAGCCTCCAGCTCCCATTCCCCAGCACTCACACCACAGCCCCCTGCACCCGCTCCCACGCTGCCTACCAGTGCTGGACATGGCTGCGGCCATGGGGAGCTCTGCGCTGCCTGGACACGGGCAGCGTGTGAGTTATTCTTAGCTCCGTGGCTGTAAATACTCGGGAAGGTTGTGCTCATGGCAGACGGAGGTCACGCAAGCGCAGAGCGAGGAAAAACATTTGAGACCCCGATATGGGACAGGAACCACGTGGGGCCCGAAGAAATAGGGTCAGTTGCTGACACCTCCCCAGGCTGATACTGCTGGCCACTGCAGGTCCTCCACAGTGGAAGCAAGTGCATGCAGAGACAAGCCAAGCCCCCAGGGCAGTTCTCCACACCTGGCACCATCCAACCACAGGATGATGCTTTCCTCTGTGTGGAGGCACCTCTGATTCCCCCCCGGGTAGGAATGAAAGACATGCTGGTCCCCACAGGGTCCCTGACCTCGTGGTACCATAGCCCGTACTAAAAACCCCTGGGCAGCATCACTGCTGAAGTCCAGACAAAAAAAATCTCTGCACACCTCTCTTCTAAGAAAGGTCTCTAAGAGCCAGCTGCTCTTAGAGATCGAAGGAATAGGGAGCTCCCTTCCTTAAAACCAGCCAGGCCGAGCCCTGACACCGCATCCTGCCGCATACTCATCGCGGGGCAAGGAGCCACAGCTGCTCATAGGGTCCCGCTTTGCGCAGACAGCTCTCAGGCCCTCCCCAGTCCTCCGAAGGACAAAGACCTTCCTTTCCCACAAGCTCCCCTGTATGTTCCCGCATCCCCTCGATGACATGCAGGGTTACCATCGCATCCGGGGTGGCTGCGGTACCCATTTTACTCTCCGCCCTGATCGGGAAGCCTCCGGCTCTCTGTGGCTGCATTATCTAATGTAAAAATCCCCGCGGACAGAAAGGGGATGGTGGGATAGACCGGCGAACCTGGAGAAGCCCAGAGCCCGGGGAATCCCCCACCCTGGTGCTAACCCCGTGATGGGGTCGGGTAAATGTGGGGATGAGGGTAACTTACGGAAGCTGCTGCCGCCACCGCCCTGCCCGGCTCGGCTCAGCCCAGCCCGGCCCGGTTCAGCCCCGCGGAAGGTGGGGTTTCAGCGGGCAGGATGTGCGGATGCAGGGAGGGCGGTGGGAGGGGGAATTAAAGGCGTAGCGGCAGCTCACAGCTACGGGGAGGGGATTTATTGGGGTTGCTGGTGCGGTCCCGTCTGCCAGCGCCCTCTCCCAGCTGCGGTACCGCCGGGCTGGGGCGCTCCTTCTGCCTCTGCTCCGAGCTAAGGGCGCGGTGCACCCTGAAACCAGGGCTTAAAGGAGAAGAGGAAGAGACCTTTCCCTAGGAAAGGGTTTTGGGGTGACATGGCACTGCCCCATGCGGCTGGCACCTCAGCCCAGGGCTTGTTGACCTTCTGGTGCCGGGCTGAGCACGGTGGTTCCAGTGGGTGCCATCCGCTGTGTGGCTCCTTCTCATAGAATCAACCAGGTTGGGAAAGACCTTTAAGATCATCAAGGACCCAGGACTGCCAAGGGATGGACTCAACCCAGGTCTGCCCAGTCCTGCGGTCTCCTTCCCAGCTGCCTGGAGAGGCACCACCCTGCTCCTGCAAGCTCAAGCAGTCACGGCCAGCACCCCCCCACCAGCTGCCCCTTGCTGCTGGGTGCCAGCGGGGCCACCCCAGCAGGCCCCATTGCCCTGGGGCTTCCCGCAGTGGGGATGCCCGTGCGTGCCCTCTGTGACTCAGGGTGCAGCAATGCTGGGTGGTGCCCTCGCCAGCAGACATGGCCACAGCAACATGGGTTTGTGTGGCATGGCATGGCCCAGCACGGCCCAGCACAGCTTGCCCTGATGCGGCTTAGCCCAGCACGGCCCACAGCCCAACAGATGTCACCAACTGTGGGTTCCTTCTCCTCCCCTCATGCATGGCTCCTGAGTGCTCCCCAGAGTGCCTGCTTTCTAACCCACACCACCTTGCCCCAGGGGGGTAAATCCTTGCTAGGCACAGAGCAGGTTGCACCTGGGGTGAGGAGCTGCATCCTTTGCCTGTGGGAAGGGCAACCAGCACATTCAGAGCCAGTTGTAACATGGTCCTGCTGCTGCACCCACAAGGGAAAGTCCTGGCCAGGGGACACTGATCTGTCCTGTTCCCATCCCCACCTAAGAGAAGCCACCACAAGCAGTTTGTTCTGCCCACCCTGATGCAGAGGAGGTTTTGGGGTGCCCTTTACGGCTGCAGCCCAGCCACAGCAGCCACTCCCTCTTAATCTCAACCAAAAGGCAGCTGTGCCCCCTGCCCACAGGCTGGAAGGGTCCCTGCTGGCATCACAGCTCTGCACCGAGCTGCAGGCAGCAGCATGCTTTGACAAGGAGCAAGCAGTCCTGCAGTGCCAGGACAGAACAAGCCCTGGTTTTCACCTGAATGGATCTGGAAGCTTCGTCACTGGCCTCAACCACCACTGCCTGCCTTGCCTGCTCAGACCCACCCAGGACAGAGCCCACCCTTGTGACCCCATTCACCTCCTGTTCATCTCTTGCCTCATTATCCCTCAATGGCCTTTAAAGCTGCTTTCACAACTGACTCTCCTGGGGTAGGAGACACCTCCTGCATAATCCCATCACGCAGGATTCCCCATGTCCTGCCCCTTGTGCTTGGGAGCAGTTTCTGTCAAATACCTGCACAAATACCTGTGTAATTTCCTTGTTTTCTTCCCTCAAGTTTCCCTTTGCCGCAATGTCTGCAGGAACTTGGCAGCAGGCACCGTTCTGGTCTTTAGCGCTCTTTGTTTGGGTCCAGGCGTTGTCCCTTCGGCTGTGGGCTGCTCGGGGAAGGAGAGCTTTGTGCCCTCGGTTCATGCTGTGCTGCTGGCACGTCAAGCTGCAGAGCCTGAACGCTTGGAGGTGGGAACTGAGCTGGGAGGCTGCGCTCACCCGTCCATCTCTGAGGCCTGCCCCACACATCGCCTCTCCCTCGTGCCATCCTCCAAGCAACAGGCACTGTACACAAACCTGTGTGTGCAGCAGCTGCTGGGAGCACCCCGGCTTCAGACTGCATCCCAGAGCAGCAGGGAGCAGTCCTGGGGGCTGGCTGCTTGCCCCGTGCTCAGGGGATAGCAGAGCTGCAAGGAGCATCACACAGCAGGAAAGTAGACTCAGCCAAGCTGCATGCCAGGGGCCAGCACCCCTCACCCCTTCCCAAAGGCTTTAGCTGTCCACCCAGACCAGCCTTTGAGACAGGTTTTTGGCTGGAGGTGGCAGGAGCAGCCACTTAAAAGGCTACTGAGACTCTGGGGTTGGGCTGACATCTGCCACCTGGCTACCAGCAACACTCCCCTTCCCTCCCACACCATTCCCAAAGCTTCTTCCTGCACCCCAGCGTAAATGCATGCAGCTCCCCCATCCACCTGCTTTTAGCAGCAAAGCCTCTGATGCTTCTGCAAGCCAGAGGGAAAGTCTGCTTGTGCTGGGGAGCCTGTGAGCCACGGCTGGGGTCCTGGCAAGAGGGCAAGGGCTTGCACTGACGCAGGGAGAGCACACAACCCCCCACTCCTCCTTTGCACCACACATGCTCCTGCATCCCTGTTGCAGCTGGGGTGCTCTCCTCCCAGGCCCCAGCCCCCAGCCCACTCCACAAAGAAAAGACTGCAAGAACAACAGCTCCTTTTTTCCTTTTCTTTTGTACACAAATATATACAGGGTATTATACACATCTCTACAGACAGTGCCACTCGGAACACACAGCTCTCTGCGGGCAGAGCCCCCACAGCCACAGGGGCAGCCCAGCCTGTGGCTGTGCCTAGAGACTGGAGCATCCCAGCCACTGGACCAGGGCGGGGGGGCGGGTAAGTGGGTGCAGGAACAGGATCAACATCCTCCCTGCCTCAGCCTGGGAGCTCTCATGTCATTTCTGTCTCATCCCCGGGGGAATGGATAACACTCACCATGCCCCTCTGCACTCACACATGCTCCAGCCCCAGCCAAGCCCCAGGAGCCGGGTGGCCTGCCCTCCCCATGCACTGAAGACCCACATCTTTTCCCCTCCATCCCCCTTTCCTCCAGGCCTAGGATTCCTACAGAGAGGCGTGCAGGAAAGTCAGCTACATCCTCCCAGAGCAGGCCCCTGGCTCTGTGTGTCTGGTTCCTCTCCTCTGGGGGATGATGGGGAGAGAAGCCATGGATGGGACCACCCTGCCCCATAGCAGAGCAATGGCAGGGCTGATGTGTCACTTGTTCAGGTCTATTAAAGTGCCTGGAGCTCCAGGGCCAGCACAGGTGACTGAAAAGGTAAATGACTGTCCCCTTCCACCCAGCCTGTCAGACCCTGGAGGGTATGGCCCCAGTTGGGCCAGTGCAGCAACCCACAGGGGACAGGCAAAGGGAAGTTGGTAGCGTCTGCAATGAGCACCAAACAGGATGGTGGCGGGGGTGGAGGGAAATAAATATAGCTCAATAGCAGGGAGATTTATTATTTTCCTTTACATTTTACACAAGGGGAAGGGGTAAGCAATTGAGGGTAACTGATCCTGTCCAGAAACCTTCTCTTGAAGAGCCTTTAAACAGGGTCAGACCTTCCTGCAGGTGTGAGGGGCTCCAATCCACCTCTCCCATCCAACCTGTCCCCTTCCTGCCTCTGGGACACAGCTACAACCAGGAAAGGGTCAAGGGCAGAGGTAGGGCAGGAATAGCCCCCCTCTCTCAGGCTGGGTGATGGCAGGGGAGCCTACACCCAGTCAGGGCAGCTGAAGGAAGCCAGCACAGCCCCAGGAAGCTTCTGTGCTCCTGAAGTTGTGGTCTTGCTCAGAGAGGGCTCCCAGGGGCTGCTCTCCCAGGGCTCCCTCCCTCTCTGAACTCCTCAGCTGGGCCAAGACCCTGCAACAGCTCAGGGAAAGCAGCCCATGGGGCCCCACTGAAACCAGGCAGAGGTGGCCCCACAGGGTGCTGAGGGCCTGTGGTCCAGGACCCCTTCTCCCTAGCACCCAGGAGACCCCCCAGCACAGTACCCCTGCCCCTGAGACCTGACCCTGCTGTGCAGACGCAGAGCAGCAAAGGGGGCCATAGTACCAAACAGGGGTCTGGTTGATTTGTTTGAAAGGGGAGTAAAATGCCACTTAAAATGACCTGCCTGCACCCCTGGGGAGGAGGGGACAGGACCTGGGGGAGAGGCTGCCTGCGCCTCCTCCTGCCCTCAGCACCCCTCACCCTGCAAGGGGCTGCCTGGCTCACGTTCCTTCCCCACAGCAGTGCCACCCTTGACCATGAGGCCAGGCTGGCCCCTTCCCCATGGGGGGGATGTCTGTCACCACCCCAGTGCCTGGCCCAGCTCCTGGCATGTCACACCACGGGTGGGTGCTGCAAGGGGTTGAGAAAGGGCACGTGCAAGCAAGGGGAGAAGGTGCAACAGAAGGCACCCCCCCCAGGTGGGGCTTCCCATACACTGACTAAAGCTTTTAGTTCATCATTTTCCTGCAAGTCTAATAAATTATTAGTGTTTCCTGCCAGGAGGAAGGGGGACAGAGGGGCCTGCTGAGAAGACCCCAAAGGTTCCCCTTGTGCCCCTCCCCACAGCTCACCCAGCCTTCCTCCTCCCTGCAGGTCCAGAGCAGCACCATGGAGGTCAGAGTCCCCCTTCTCCCCAGCCCCTGGGGTTTTGGGGTCTGGGGACACATTGAAGAAGGTAGCTAGTAAAAGAGCATGCCCGCCGAGCTGCCGGGCCAGCGCAGGGTGGAAGGGCAGGGAAATGGAGAGCTTGTGACAGGGCTCCTGCCCCCACTGAAGGCAGCAGCCCCCGGGGGGCAGGTGGGCAAGGGCAGCAGCCAGCACCCTTGGGTGCCTCTCCCTAGGTCTCCATGTGCACAGCCTGCCCTGCTCCTGGGCCTCCTTCCCCTCCCACCCTCCGAGGTCCCTACTGGTGGATCTCGTTCTCTATGAGGCTGTCCTCACACGACTGGAAATCCGTGTCGTTCATGCCATCTGCATTGATGAGCTCTTCATCCTGTGAGCCCTGCTCCTCTGACTCTGTTGCTTCGCCCTCCGGTGAGGAGTCCTGCAGCACTTGGGCGATGTACTTCTGCCAGGCCAGGCACAGGGCAGGTGAGGGATGGGAGAGAGCAGAAACACAGGTGAGCCCAGGGGCTTCTCCTGGCAGCACAGCACAATACACAAAGAGCCATGCAAGAGGCTGAGAGTGGGGATACATTTGGAAGGTGAGGAAAGGTCCAGAATTCACACGATGTACTCTGGGAGAGGGGCTAAAAGTGGGGATGGCTTGGCCCTGCAACAGTGGATCTGCCAAAGCACAGCATCCCTAGGAGCCAGGGCTAGGAAAGCATGGAGCTTCTCAGCTCTGTGGAGCCCATGTGGACTGGAAGGTTGTGCTCCCTTTTTGCCAGTATATGTGTCCCTCTGGGGCTGTGCCTGCCTCCTATGTGAATCTCCTTTTGGCAAGATGCCACTTCCCTTAGGTATATGGAGACTAGTAAGGAGCCTGCATTACATAACGCACACCCCAGGGCAGCTCCCCTGAGAAAGCAGGAGGCACTGCTGTACCCCATCTCCGCATGTACCCCCTGAACTGCTCTGCACATAACCCAAATAGAAAAGTGTCATGGTGAAAGGAAGCAGCTGAATGATACAGTGAACCAAGGAGAAATACAGAAAACTGACTCTGGGATCATAAGAGTTGGGCAGGGGAGGGGAGAATCCCCAAAGCACTTTCATGGACTTCAAGGCAATGCCCACAGAGACCCCTTTGTGTGGCTTTTGTGGTATGCGACAGCCTTTGCTGACAGGCAACATGCAAAGATGCAGAATGAGAAGTGAGACTGACCCAGCTGGATTCACTGTCCCAGCTGAGAGAGGCAGAGAGTAAACACACAGCATCTGAGGAGCAGTGGGAAAGGGTTGAGTGTGCATGCATGTGTATGTGTGGTGTTACAGTTCACCACCCTGCGAGGGGCACAGCACCTAACACTTGCCTCCCACCCTCACTGGGAGACTCTGGGTGCTGCCTCAGAGCAGTGAAGAGTAAGTTACTCTGACAGGGAGTTACCCCCTTCCCAAACCTGGGTAAGGAGCACAGTAGGACACGGAGGTGGGGACAGGGACTCACAGCTGATTTGGGAGCCGGCAGACTGGTGGCAGGTCTCCCATTCTGCCTGTTTTCTACAGCGTCCACCTCCGTGTGGTCAATCTGCAAAGGAAGTGAGAAGTTAAGACTGCTGGGCAATGTGTTTGCTGTCCTACCACAAGAGCAGCATACAGACAGCAGGGACAGCCTTGGGACTGTCCCCTCTGGGAAGAGACCCCAGGGTTGAGAGGCTCTTCTGGGGAGCAGGCTGTGATTCCCTAGGAGCCCCGGCTGTTCCGTAGCTGAGCTGTGCTCACTAGCAGAAGGTCCCACACCCCTACCCAGTACTCTGCCTCACCTTGTAGTTGTGAGCGCTGAGGTATTTGAAGTGCCCAAAGCAGACGTGACACAGGCAGATCACAATGGTGATCACAAGGACCACAAAGGTGAACATGGAAGTGGGGGCCAGGAACCCTGGGGCAAAGGAAAACCGAAGTGGTGGTGTCAGAGGGACTGACAGGCTGCCAGGACCACAGCCTGGCAAAGGAAGTGGCTCTGTAGGAGGCCAGGGGCTGGCATCCCAGCTCAGCACTCACCTGTGCGCATGGTGGAGAAGAATAGAAGCCAGAAGAGGCAGAGGATGGGGGCTGCCACCACCTGGTTCACAGCCCCTGAATGGATCTTCTTGTCCAGCTTGGCAGGCAGGTAAGCATAATACAAGTTGTATCGGTCCACCAGGTGCTTAAGCAGCATGTACATGAGCCCTGGGAGAAAGGGAGGTATGCCAACAGAGAATCATCCCCTTTTCCAACACCTCTGACTGACAACTGACCTCTATCTCCCCCAAGCCACCCTTCCTGCCACCTTCAAAGGCTCTTCCCAGCCTTTGACACAGGGAGGCAGAGGGGTATCACTTACCAAAAGGGACGATGATGGGGCAGGTGATGCTGTATGTCATGACCACAGTGAAGACACACATCATCCATGCGTAAGCAGCCCCAAACTGGAACTCGTAGGCCTGGTGCTGCAAGAGGGAACAGAGACATGTCAGCATGTCCCTGGGACACACACAACCCCACCAGGGCCCCACTCCAGCACTCCCATCCCCATGGAGAGGCCACAACCCACCCCCATCAGCCCCGCTACGCACTCGTTTGACATTCCTCCGCTCCGCAGCTGAGCGGGCCAGGCAGAGCCGTATCATGTACATGAGCAACCCGGGGATGCGCAGCAGGTCCATGGCATTCCCGATGAAGGCAGAGGCAATGACATAGTTGACAAAGAAGGCCCCGTTGTCTGGCAGGAACACACACCTAGGGAGATGCAGCAAGAGCAGGCTGCAGGAGGTGCTCCTGCCTTGCAGGGCAGTAGCCAGGAACCCCCAGGACCTTTGGACACCAACAAGAACCTCCCCACATCGCAAACAAGGGCCTTCTGCTCAGCTCTACTTACTCAAATCGTACAGCAGCTTCGGCAAGGAACTTTTTGTCAAACAACCAGCGGAAAAACACATCCAAGCTGTGGGGGAGGAGGCAGGAAGAAAAGAGGAACAGTCAGACACAGTGATCACACAGACATGCACGTGCAAGGACGTGGAAGCTGTGCTAGAAGGACCCAAAGCTCTGACCATAGACTTCTTTGTTCCCTCTTGGGATATGTCACTAGCAATTATGTAAATCAAACACTGGAGAAAACAGTGCAGCACCCAAAAAGGGGTGTAAAGCTTCCTGCTCTCGTGTATTCTTCTCCTTTTGACCTGATCCTGTCAGTAAAGTATTTTCTTCTTCCCTCATGCAAGGAACAGGTGACTGACTCTATAGAAGAAACTGTTTAGGTACAAGGTCCTCTCCAAAACAGAGATTAAAAACAAGCAAACAAGAAATCCCATTTTCCTCAATTCTGATTTTCTGATATAAAACTATCCAGTCCTCTGGCACCTTGGGCACTGCTGGAGTACTCGGCTCCAGAGGCAACAGCAGGGGACTGAGCGCTCAGAAGGAAGCGTGGTCTGTTAACAGTATTCTAGTCAAAATGCATTTAGCTGCCTCATTTGTAAGCTTGTATCACAGAATCAGAGTGGTTTGGGTTGGAAGGGACTTTAAAGCTCATCTAGTTATCCATGAGCAGGGTCACCTTCCACTAGATGAGGTTATTCCAAGCCCTGTCCAGCCTGGCCTTGAACACTGTCAGGGATGGGGCAGCCACAGCTTCTCTGGCCAACTTGTGCCAGTGCCTCACAACCCTCAAAATAAAGAATTTCTTTCTTATATCCAATCTAAATGTACCCTCCTTCAGTTTAAAACTGTTACCCTTGTCCTATATCACTACATGCCCTGGGAAGGAGGACTATTCTTCTCCCTCTTTCAGAGTTTGTCTATTCTCAAGAGCTGCCTGACTTCACCAGTGAGGGGCTGCACCCTGAATCCTGAATTTAGGAAGGTAAAGATCCCCCACACTATCATGTGTAATCAATTCCCATCAGTGAGGACCCCCAGTCCCACTCCTACCTCCTAGTTTCCCTACTCAGCCACCGTTCAATGCTGGGAGCCCGTGCCTAAGGCTGGTGTTTGCCACAGAGCATTTCTGTAACTGCAGGAAGATCTGAGGCTCACATCCAAACAGACAAGCATTGTTGCAGCCTACACATAACTTGCCCATGCAGTCAAGAGGTGTAACCTACACTGAGCTGGCTCGAATGGCAAGTTCACCAGTTTTGTGCAAAATCTGGAGCATGCAAGGCACAGGTGTGGGGAGTGCCTCCTTCACCAGCAGATCTCGAGCAGGCTTTTCACATGCATCCACGAACCATGCCAATTTTGTCTGCATTATTTCTAACACCACGACACGTGTCAATGCATCTGCATGTTGATTCAGTGAGCTTCTCAGAGGCACAAACAGGTATGGTCCAACCTAGACCCAGCCAGAACTAAACTGTCACCTTCCTGAGAGAGTGGTGACCAGGGCACTTGTGCGGTGGGAAAAGAATGTCGTGTAGGAGAACTACCAGGGGTGCATCTCAACCCTCCCCATGCTCCTGGTCTCTGCACTTGCTTTCCCTCCCCACCATTTGTACCTGCTCAGGCCCAGTGATGGCAGCAGCAAGACCATGAAGATGAGGAAGGTGTAACACTTGTGCATGGTTGTCCTGTTCTCTCCAGATCTGAGGGCAGAGAGGAGGCCGTTAATCTTTCACCATTACCCTGCCACGACCAGAAGCATCCCCATAGTTTTCCCATCAGAGGGCACCTCCCAGTGTCTGATCTGAATCCTACCCTGTCCACTGCCGGTATGTGGACTTGCTCCCTGTCCTTCCACTGAGTGTAAAGTCTGTTCTTGAGTCCCAGTTCCTCCCTTCCTTGTTTCATAGGCCCTCCCACCCCTCTTATCTTTAGAGGACTCTCTTGATAATGACTCTTCAGAGTCATCTCTCTTGATGTGGTCACATCCTCCCCACCAGCTTTTGCAACACAGAGCAGAGAGCAAAGCTTACATCGCATGTCCTGTGGGGAACGTGCATCACAACCAGCACATTCTTAATGCTCTTTGCTTCAAATACCTTCCCTATGTCCAGAAGCCACAGCAAATAAGGTGATCTTTCCCTTGGAAAAGCTATGACTTACACATGGGCACAGGCACACCACTCCTGCCCGCCCACCAGAGCCAAGACTTCCCTTGCTACTAGCATTTGCCACCAGTAAACAGCCTCAACTCCTGCCAGCTTTCGTCTTCTTGTAGACCTATGTTAAGCTCTGCTCAGACAACCATGCTGCACAACAGCAGCTAAAGACTGTCAGAACAGCTGTCTATGGTAGACCCCAGGTGTCGAAGAAGTGCAATGTAACACCATGGCTGGAGTGGAAAACAGAAGGTCAAGCAGAAGGATCCAGCAGGAGCTTTACGTCAGTGATAATGTCTAGTGGCCGGGCAGCATGCTGGTGTGACTCAGAGCAGGCGCTGGCTGTCCTTACCTGGTCCAGTGCGCTTCAAAGAATGCAGAGTAATACACAATGGTGGGCAGCAGAGCAGAGAAGCACCACAGCAACAGGGTGGGGAAGAACTGGGTGATGATAGGATTCTGCAATGGCAGAGAAGAGACCATGTGTTACATGGTGTGTCAGCTTCTGCACCAGCCGTAGGTACTGCTGCCTTTGCTGACACTGATGGCCCAGCACAGCAGCTGCCACTGCAGCCTGGCCAATTTCTCTCCCTATCCCCAGCCTTGCAGGTCATAGGGGTGGTTCTCATGCTACCCATCCTGCACATGTCTCTGAAGGCCTTACATTGAGGTACTCCACAGGCTTGGTGACATTGAACTTGTCCATAGTGGTGATGATGATAGCAGGGGTGGTGAGGAAAAAGAGAAGGATGAAGAGGACCACATTGATCACGAGGCAGCGGATCCACCAGATGAAGCCCCGGATAGAGAGGTGTTCCCTGGGAAAGGGGAAGGAGGGCATCAGGATGGCTGCATGGGGGAGAAGGGCAGGTCGAGAGCCCCACATACACACCACAGCCCAGCCTGCAGGAACAGCACTTCAGGCACCAGCCCAAGGCTTTCCCCTTCCAAGTCAGATCAGATTGCTAGCTCAGCCAGGCTGGGCTTCAGCAAGACCAACTCATTCAGTTACCAGAGGAGCAGGTGGGGAGGGAGACAGAGAGCGTGCACCCCTCTCCCCTTAGCAGGGCCCACTGAGCCCCACAGAACTGCTCACCAATAGATGTTCTGTGGGTCAGGGGCATAGCTGACGGTCCAGTTGGAGACGTGGAGGGACTCGCTGCAGGAGGAGGCCCTGGGCTCCCCACGGCATGCACAGCCCTGGCACTTACAAGCATTGAAATCTTTGAGGATTCTGGAGAAGAGAAAGAGGGAGATGCTGACAACAAAGGGCTGGCAGGGACAAACCGAGGAGAATGCCTTAGTGCTGGCATTCCCCTGATTTAAGGCGAGAAATGGGACAGGTCATCTTCCTGTGGAGAACAGGACTCTGCACTCACATGGCTGTGATGGTCTCATTGTGGAAGGTGACAAAGGCCATCCCCAGAGGCTTTTCATTCACCTTCTCCTTCTCCCGCTTGTAGTCATCTTTGAGTTTCTCCTCCAGCTTGGTATAGTACTCGATGGCCTCCACCTGGGCAGGGGAACAAAGGTCAGATCAGAGACCCAAGCTCCCGTGTGCCCTCCCACCCAACACCTCAGCTCTTCCCCCACCTCCTCACAGCCTCTGATGACACAGCAACACAGGTGGCCACAGGGCTTGGGGTTGATCATGGATGGGGTGTTCTCCTTGCTCTGCAGGTTGGTGAAGTAGATTCGGCCACGCTCTGCTTTCTTCCTGAAACCAGAAAGCGGAGGAGAAGGAAGGAGAGAAAGAAACAGGGTGGCTCAGAAAAGCTCCTGTGGCACCGGCCCACCCTGCCTCCTCTCCCAAACCAGGCATTACCTCTCTGCATCCAGGAACATCAGCCGGGCCACGTCGTAGCAGGGACGGGCCTCCAGGACAGTGCAGTTGGCGTAGGCCTCCCTGCAGATGGAAGCACCAGCTCATCACCTGGCACCAAAGGCTGTATCCTCAAGCAAACCCCATGCACCCAGGGCTTCGGTCCTGCCCTGGGGCTGAGCATCACGATGCATAGCAAGAGTTTGCTGGGGACAGCAGGGGAGCCTGCAGGCTCTGTCCCTTACAGAAGAGGCAACACCTAGGACAAACACTACATCCTCTGGGCTCTAGCACAAGATATCTCTTTGGACTTTCACCCTCTGGCAGCGAAGAACCCCTCTAACCCCACACCCCCTCTGCCTTCATGGACCACAGGGTTTGGGATTGGGAAGAGGCAGAAGGGTTCCCAAAAGGTACAAAACATTTCTCCTCTCCCCATGGCACTTCTAAATGTGTCCCTTCTAAACATGGCCCTGACTGCATTCACTGAGGTCCTGACAGGAGAGGAATTTAATTTTATTGTTAAAAATATACTTTTCTGCAAGGACTGTGATCATGGCAGAAGCAGCAGCACAACATCCCACAGTCACTGCTTGAGCATCTCCTGCCTGCATCTCACCTCTGAACTCGACTGTATCTCAGGATATGCCCTGTCCACTACTTAGCACACTGATCAGTATGGTTCTGCCAGAGATAGGTGGGCATATCCCAAGGCATAATACTAAGGAAACTGCACATTCAGATAAGATGTGCAGAAAAATAACAGCAAGATGCCCACAATAAAAGTATTCACCTCTTTCTGCTCTCAGTATATTACTGCCATTCTAGGTCACAGTAGCACTACCCCAAATAACATCACTGTTAAAGAATAGCCTTTAATTAGGGATACAGGGAGACTTACTCAAAATGCTTCTTGATCTTCTCTGGCTCAGCATATTTTGAGATCCCATTAATGAAGAGAGTTCTCTTAACCTGGAATGAAGAAAGGAAGGGAAAAAAAAAAAGAGAGGGCAGGCAGGTGTGGATGGCATGAAAGACCACATGGCAGCAAAACCCTCCAAGGCCTGAGTCAGTGACAGGAAAATGCAGCCCCATCACTTTTAGCACCCAGGGATCTCCCTTCCCCTATGCTTCCACAAGCCGCTGGCATCCTGCATCCTGATGTGCTGCAGACCAACAGCCTAAGGTCTTACACTGCAGCTGCCTGAACAGAAACAAGGGGTACCCTTAAGAAGGCAGCAAAAGCAGCTAGAGAAAATCCCAAGGAAGACACGAGTTCCCCCCCACATTCACCCAGCACAGATGTCTCCTGTTTCCCCACAGGCAGTCAGGGCTGCCGCTCTGGAGATCTGCCTTTGGCCAGGCAGAATAAAAGAGCAGTCAAAACAAGAATGTCCCAAATTGCTGTGGGAAATGGGGTGCTCGGCACTCTCGTCAAGGCTACCTTGACAGAAGGGCATGGGAAAATATGGCTGGGAGAGTGACCAGATCCTGCTCACCAAGTCATCCTCTTTGTAGCGCATCTTGGAGGTGTGCCGGCGCATGCTGTACACTGTCAGCAGCAGGTACAGGAAGGCAAAAGATGTGTGCAGCCACAGCAGGTTATTCCTGTCACAAGGGAGACCACAAAGGTCAATGGAAGGTTACCACTACAGGTCTACGTATGGCTGGTCAGGCCCTGAAGGTGCTGGGGCCATGAGCAGTGTAACCAGCATGGCCACATGCCCTACAACCACATGCCCTACAATCACTAGCCTCAGAGTGAGGGCAGAAATACAACCTTCAAAGAGGTGAGGCTCTGCAACAAATAAGCATTTACAAAATGCCCCCCAAGGGCCTCAATTACCTATCCCACCCCTGCCCACACATACCCAGAATTCAGGTTAGCAATAGTTGTCCTCCCAAAGCTGTAGGCGTTGTTTTCTAGGGAGAAAGAGGCAGACACAAGCACATTCAGTTACACAGAGTGGCACAGAGCACCACTAGGGTGGGCTACTGCAGGAATGTCACCTGCAGAACACCCTAAAACCCAGGCTGCCCAGGATGACCCTCTGGATGCACCACACTCAAAGCGAAACAGCAGTGAGGGATTGTCTGTGTTAGTCCTGTCCTGCCCTCCACTGCTCTCCAGTGGTCTGGGCCATGGTGCTGAAAGCAGGTCCCCAAGCCCAGCAAAACCTCCCTGCTCTCACCTAGCAGATCCCCTGAGAAGTTGACAGGTAACACGATGCCCACGGAGAGCACACCCACAGCCACCAGCAGCCCGATGATGTGCCTCTGGAAGGACAGGTAGTGGACCGCATCACCCCCACACTTGTCCCGGATCTCGTCATCCCTGCCAGGGAGAGAAACACCCTCAATCTTTCACATTCCCTCAAGTGCTGGATGGAGAAAAGCACAAGGGCATGGCTGCCCTCCTGGTGAGCCCACACAGCACCCCTGGTCCTTCCATACACATCTGTGACCAGGCCCTGTGGTAGGGAGCCTAGCACTCACCCACGAACCAGCCTGGGCAGAAACCTGTCCATTCAACTATTACTGCAGCCCCACTCCCCATGTGCCAGGCCTTCAGCCCCCCCCAGGACAGGCAGCTGGACACGTGCAAACCCCAGCACACACCTTCTGGTGGACCTTGCCTCCCCTGCTGAGATACTGTCCCACAGTGATCTGAAGCTAAGAAGTACTTGGGAGACTATGCCTGAGCATCATCAGGCTGGGGATGTCTCCCTGCATCACCCAGCTCCCCCTTCGTAGCAATTCCTTGGATAGCAGTGCCCCTAAGAGTCCCAGGGAGAGGAGCAGGGGAGACCTGGGCTTGGTGCCCTTCTCTGTCACAGACCCACTATGTGACCTTAGTTTCGGCTTCAGGACTCTTTATCTAGTCCCATCTTTGCTTGTCCTCTCCAGAGGACACACTTTGCTTGTGTTCTTCACTAGAGGAGGCTGCAGCAAGGGCAGCCACTTCACAGAGCTGTACTGCACTGGGTGCTCCAAGGGCCTGCCATGCCTTTCCTTCTTCCCCATGTGGGTCCCCTTTGCAGGTCCTGGGCCACTTACTTTATCCTGAAGATGGCTGTCAGCCAGGAGCAGAAACCCTGTGCAGAAAGAATACAGGAGGAGCTCACATCATTCTGTGTTCCCTTATCCCCACTCCCTCCTCCAAAGGCTTGGGACCACACTGGTGTCCATGCACCTCCAGAGACTTGGAGGGCAGACCATGAACACCCAGACATGCAGAGCCATGGAGAGGCCAAGATGAAGACGACTGTGCTACTCCATGGGGCACAACACAGGCTGGACTCTGCCATGTGGCTGTCCAACCTCCCAGGCAACCCATGGGCTCTGTGGGCACCTAGAAAATGCACTACTTTAGCCATCTTTCTGAACAAGAAGAGCTCTGTGGGGACTGGGAAAGCTGGGCCAAGCCAGTGCTCCTCAAAGGACACCTGGGGGAGGAATATTTCCTGGGTGCTTCACCACCCATCCATCACCCCTGTTATTCTACTGAACTCTGCCTCCCCTTTAGAGAGGAAAACAGTAGTAGCCAGCAGTGTGAAGAGAAGCTGGCAAGTATTGTTTGCCATGCTGAGACAACATGTTGGACAGATGTCCGTTAAAGCCACAGTTATGTACAGCCTACTTATTTAAGCACATGTCTAGAAGCCACAGTTATGTCACCCTGAGGTCTACACCACACTCACACACTACAAGGTGTGGGACTTAATGCCTGGGGACAGGCAAACTGTGTTTCTTCTGAAGAGTCCTTGGTTCAGACAAGCTCTGGGCTCCTGGCCATATCAAGGCAAGGTGTTTGACTCTTGCTGCTACTCACGTTGTCCCTCTGGTCGAAGTCCACAGAGCTGGAGACGGAGGTGAGGCGCTCATAGCGGTCATGGTTGTCAGAATGCAGGGCGGAGGCTACGCTAAAATGACAAGCGGGAGGTGAGGGAGAAAGTTAGGAGACGTGAGGAGGCAGCCTGGCCAGGAACCAAGAGCACCCAGAAGACTGACCCAGAGGTTAATTCAGGTCAGTTTGCTCCGGTTGAGATGGAGAGATGCAAGATCAGAGATAGCAGTAAACAGAGACCCCTCCTCAGACAGCACCCTGAGCCTTGCAGACCCACAGGCTTGGCCACGGATGCTACTCGATCAGCACCTTCTGCGAGGCACTTGTGTTACACGCAGCAGCACTTGTGAGGAGGGGCTGGCAGCGCCTGCCATGAAGGACAGACGAGGTCTGTTAAGCACAGAGTTTGTCGAGGAGAGGAAGGGGAACCAGAGGGAGCCGCAGTTCCTCCAGCTCTAGTGCGGCCACAAGGCGGCAGCCCCAGAGCTCCTGAGAGGCGCTGGCAGCAGCTCCACACTTGCCTTGGGGAAGAGAAAGGTTGGGAGTCTGGTGAGCTCGATCCTGCTAGACCAGCTCTCCACACCTTCAGCACAGGGAAACCCAGAAGGAAGAGGAACGCAGCTGAGCCCCAGTGGGTGGCTGGAGCCCAACCTGCTCTACAGCCTCAGCTGAGCCTCCTGCCTGGAAATCCCTCCAGCATGAGCAGGGCAGACAGCTAGAAGTGAAAGGACAGGAAAGCAAGAGAGATGAATATCCCAGACCGCTCTATTCCACGCACAGGCAGGGTCCTACAAGAAGAACCTGCAGCAGAATCAACCAAGGCAGACAACAGCCCCCGCTATGAATGGAAACAGAAGGCAGCTGGCAAATGAGACAGGAAAATGATCAGACCTAATTTAAATAGCACTTGCAAGATAACAACAGCAGGCTGGGACCATGGAGGTGCAAGAAGAGATATGGCTGATCTGAAGGTTAGAAGCAAAGGATAAAACCAGACGAAAACATGATCTCCCTGTAACCAGTAAAGGTTCAAGGAGGATCAGATGGACAAGAACCCAGAGAAGCAGCTGAAAGACAAGTGCTAGAGACAAGGTGGATGACACTATGGGAATGAGAACGAGCAAAATACCCTCACAACCTTGCTGAAGGAAAGAGCATGGGACGCACAGCCTCTGTCAGAGCACAGCAGCACCTGCTGAGTCCCTAGCTGGAAGTAATGGAGAAGAAATCAGCTGAAGGTCATGGGACTACAGCAGTGCAGATTCAACAGTGGTGTGCAGCCTTGCAACTGTGCAGCCCAATGCCCTGCTCTGCTGGAGGGACAGCCTAAGTTTCAACCAAGCTCTTGGACCTTCAGCTCCAGAGGGCCTGAAGCTGGGCGCAGGGAGGAAGGGCAAATTTCTGCTGTCTGAAGCCCCGAGGAGAGCCCAGCATGATGACATGGTGTGCTTTTGGCTCCTCAGTACTGGAAAAGCAAAGCGCAGAGCAGAAGCAGCACTGGAGGGAAGAACTGAGTGCCATGTTATGAGATGACCAGGCTAACTCAGCTCCATTTGCAGGGATGCAGAGACAATGAGGATGACCTGCAGTGCTAAGAAGACAGAAGATGCCAAAGATGAGAAGCTGAAGAGGGAGCTCCAATGGTAGCTGCACCTAGCTGGAGGCTTTTTAAAGCAAAGCACTTAACAAAGCAAGTGGATGGCAGCAAGGCTGCCCTAAACCATGAGAAGATTAAGGTGGGACCCTACCTGCTGCCCGCCCCACCAGTGAAGGAGAAGGACAGGGTCCAGGCATGGCTAGCTTCAGGCCAAGGGAATCACAGGCTCCAGGATGGGAGGCCAGGCATGCCATAGAAAGGGCTTGCTACAGCATGAGGCAGGAGGTGGCTGTGCAGGTGGCAAGCCCCACAGGGCTCTGTGAACATTGCCTTTACACAGAGGTGTGGGTAGGTTGCCACGAATTCCTGATACACTGAGTCACCATTTGAGTGCTGATGGCTATCACAAGCCCTGGCAACGGACAGGACAAGGGCCCTTGCTTGAGAACTGGCAAGTGGACACACCAGACAAACATACCCTTTTGCACCAAGAGCGATGCTGCACATTCAAGGGCTGGGAGCACAAGGTGGCATACATGTGTCCCTGAGCCCCAGCAAAGAGCACGGCTGGGATGGGAAAGTGCCACCAGCCTTGGAGGAGCACAGCCAGGACAAGGTTTCCTCTCTGAGCTCCACAGGCTTTTGGAAGTTTCTGGCTACCAACACTGTCCCAGCTCAAGCAGTAGGTTTTTTGGGGGGAAGGGGAGAAGCAAGAGCAAGTTCAGATGAAGAATAGGAGCAGGAGGAAGTGGCCTCCTGGAGAGAAACAAGCACTCACAAGGATAACTGAGGTGCCCCCCCTGCAAAAACCTCATAGCATGATGGTTCTGCTAACTCTGCCTTACTTCCCTCACAAGGTGTTAGCAAGGAAAAGTTGCCAGACACACCTGAAGCAGAGCAAAACACTAGTGAAGCACTCAAGCATGAACAAGGGGTCCCCTCTATGCCATGTACCACAGGTACCACCATCTCTATTTTTGTAACTCCAACTGCTCTGCTCCTTTGGGGGCAAGGAGCAGCTACAAAAATAGGAGCACCCCTGTACCCTCTCAAGGCAGTAGCAGTGGCAGGCCCCTGCTTTGGAAGTGGTTGGAGTATGAGAAGTGAGGCTACAGCTTGCTGCCTTGGCCTTAGACTTGTGTCAGCCTGGCTGGAGTGACCTCGCAGGCTCTGCAACACCAGCTGACTGTCTCCTCTGTGGTGTGTACCACCCAGCCAATTGGTGAGGCATAAGGGATGCTCTTTTCTTAGCCATAAAAGCAGCAAGAGGGAAGAGCAGGGAGAGAGGGTCCATGGCAAGGTTTAACGGGCAATGCCAGGCCATGGTGCTGGAGGATGCTCTCAGCAGTGCTGAGACAAAAAGTTTGCTCCTGCAGGGGGAGCGAGAAAGGACAAAAGTGCTGCTGCCCTGCTGGGTGTGCTGCCAGTTGGGGTCATGTGGCAAGAGACGAGGGCCAGCACTTGCCCTGGTCCCAGCAGCCTCATGAGGTAAAGAAAAAAAAGCTGTAAGTCTTGCAACTGCCAACCGGATCCTCTCTGTGCATCCATCTGCCCTTGCAGCCAGTGTGGGAGCAGTCCTCGTGGCACCCTGGCACAAGAAGGATCAGGCAAAGGATGTGACCAAGCGTGCTGTGGGCTCAATTGGGTTTATTTTCTCCATCATAAGGCAGGACAGCTGGAGGTGATAGAGCAGGACATACGATGTGGCAACCTCCACTTCGGTCAGGACAGGGAGCTCCTTGGCACTGCTGCCCTTGCAAGTGTTTAAAGACTACAGGGAAAAAACAGGGCGCATCCAGCTGTGGCAGTGGCTGACGCAAAGGGAAGGGAAAGAGTGTGAATCCACTGAAAGGCACAAATCCAAGCCCAAACTCCCAGCCACTTAGATTAGTTCAGAAGCAAGACAGAAAACTGCAAGAGAACAGGAGAGAGAAAGAGAGAGAAAGAGAGAAAGCAAGAGAGAAGAAACGAGACCCTGAGAAAACAACATACTATTCCCGCTCCTCTCGCTCCGTCTGCCAGCGTCGGCGCCTGGGGGCACAGAAACAGAAAGGGAGAGGTTACAACCCTAGGAGCAGGTGCTGGGTCTCCTCTGTCACAAGGAGCTATGCACCCAGCACGGCTCCACACTGTCCTGGGGGAGAGACACCGGCTGATGGTCAGACTGGAGAAGACCTTGCTTCCAGAGCCCAGTATCACCCCAAATCACAACAACCCAGAGCCCCCAACAGCTTGCGGGCAGAGTGCTTTGCTGCCAGCTAAAGGGAAGCTAGCCTGGCTCCACACCATAGGTGCCCCAGGGAGTCCCTGAGGGACAAGGCCAGGCAGGACACCCTGCCAGGGCTGCTCAGCTGTCGTCTAAGCTCCCTTTCCATGCCTTTACTCCCCAGCCAGGCAGCCAACACACTTGCATGCTACCCTCCCCAAATGCTCATCCCACCCTACACATGGGTCAAGCAGCAGGAGGTCCTCCCTGGGATCTTGGTCCTGGTAATCCACAACTCTTACCACACCATACACTTACCAGCTGTCCCTCACCAGAGAGTTGGCATCCCTCAGCCTTTCTGCCTACAGCCACTGCTCCCACTCCCTTGCACCAAAGGTACTCAAGCATCACCTCAAGCATCAGAAAAAGACCACCTAAGTCCAGACCTGTGCATCATGTGACCAACAGTAAGCACTTACATGACCTAAGCTTTCATGTAGGCCCAGAAAGCTTTACCCTGAGGAGTTGCTGCCCTCATACAGCTATTACCTTCTCCTCTTTTTCCCCCGATGTCCCTACATTGCTGATTCCCCCAGCCAGGCCAGAAAAGGAGGGTCCGAGGAGCCACAGGGACACAGCTGCTTATCTAATGCCATCCAGGACCACTTATTTAAACTAGAAGAGCTCCTGGTTTGCTGCTGGAAGAAAACAACTCTTTGCACTGTTGTGCACAGAGTGCCTAAAGAGCAGCTTGCTTGAATCTGTACTGCCAAGGAACCAAAGAAGTTGGAGCTCAGCCCCATCTGAGCCTTCGGGTGCAATGAGCTCATGGAGCTGATTCAAAGGGAAGAACCATCTACCACAGCCAGCCTTCAGAAGCTGCATTTTGCCTCTAGCACGTGACAAAGCACCACAGGCACAGCAAACTACCCCTGGAGAGGGGCAGACTACCTGCACATCCCTTCTGGCTTAATCCAGGAGAGTTCCTTGTTCTGCAGTGAAAGAAAATAATCACTGTCCTTCCTACTGCTGCCAGCAAAAACAACCACAGCATCTCATTCTGCTGTGGAGCTGCCATCCCTAATGGTCCCTAGCTTTTGCCAACAGACACTATAGCTCAAAAATGCATTGGGTAGGAAGGATCCATACCCAGACCGATTCATCAGCACTTAAGATGCAAGCTAAACTCACATTAGCACAGCAGTACTGCACCTGGAAATGCAACCTACCACCTGAAAGTGCTTTTAATGAGAATGGCACCCAGCAGAATCAAAGATACCTTCAGAGGCTTAACAAAGCCTTCACTGTGGCAGCCCTCACTCTTCCTTTGACCTTTTTCCTCTCTTTCTGCCTTCCATCTGCTGTTCCTCTGTAAGGGCTCTTGCAACTGTCACTGTAGGGACCATAAGTTACATGGAGCCAGTAGCCACTCCCTGTGTTGGGAGAAGGATGCTGTAGCAAAAAAGCCAGTAAGTGAGGATTTTTCCTGTTCCTGGAGCTCAGGGGATGCTTGCCTCTCCTCCCCAGCTGCCCCCAGCACATGCAGCGGTATTTATCCTTTCTGCCCCACAGAAAGAAGGGTACCATGCATGCCCTTCTCCCATGCTTACCTGTCAGCATCAGTCACCAGGGCCAGGCGTCCATAGTCCCAAGCAACTTTACGCAAAATTGAAAAGACAAACAACAGTGCCTAGAAGAGAGCAAAGGAAGAGCTGTGAGATGAGGCATTGTCCAACTCTGTGCAGAGCCACAGGAACAGGCAGGGTAGGAGGCGACAGAACTGCTCAGCTAACAGCACACTGGGATCATGGGACAGCACAATTTCCCCAGGGCTGTTAAAATCAGACTATCTGGATGGCTGTGGCAGGCAGAGGTCCAGGGTGCAACACAGTAGCTAAGTTAGCCACAGGATCAAAAGGCCCCTCAGGTCCCAGAGAAGCGAGATTATTCCTACAGTATCTGTGGTCCTGCAGTTTCTAAGGAGGAACAAGCAAAGCCTCTGGGTGGGTAAAGCTGCAGGGACCTGAGACCATAAGCAGGAGGTTTGGGATGTGGGACTCACCTAATCTGACCCATGTCCTTAGGAAAATTTGCAAAACCTTCCATGGGCTCAGTGTGGTAGTATTTGAGTTAAGTCAATAGTGGCTAAGCCCACAGTAGGTAAGGGACATAATCAGGGCCATGATCAGGGCCACAGAGTCAGCCAGTAGCCAAGTAAGCCAGCAGCGAAGTAATGGATGGCATTTGGGGCCCTCAACATTAAAGACCTCCCTTCATGGCTAATCATGGAAGAAGGTGCTGAAGCAACAGTAGGTACTTACGAGAAAGCACATAAAATCAAGGGCTAGGACAGTGGGCACCCCTCCGAAGGGCAGCCCCTGCAGCACAGTGCTGCGGATCCGGGCACTGTAGCAGTAGTCCTTGGTGCTGTTGTTGCATGTGGAGGTTTTGCAGGTGGCCCCCGCCGAGCCGAGGGTGGCAATCACGTAGGGAAGCATCTCTACAGCTTCATCGTCTTCCCTGGGGAAAGAAGAGAAAGGCATGGTTAGAAGCACAGCAGCTGAACAACAACTGCTGGAGTTTGGGGCCTGCCTTGCCTGCTACCTGAGGCCTCCTCTGCCCTACAGGATTTCCATGGGCACCAGTGTCCAGGGACAGTTCATCTGGAGAAACCTACCGAATGTGAGGGTGCTGGAAAAGCCCAGGTTCTTCAGCAGCTGTGGTCCCACCACACACAGTTCCTAAGCTCCCTTTCTTGCTCCCCCACTTTCATGCCCTTTAGGTGCATCTCCTTCTCTCAGACTGCTACCCTTCCTGGGAGATGGTGTGTCATCCCCTCCACCTCAGCAGAGAGAATGTTCAGGTACAGGAAAGAACAAAGGGGTGGGGTGGTGCGGGGATGAAGTCACATCTGGATGATGGAAACAAACTGCTATGGGACAGTTGCTGCATCATGATCCCACAATTTCCTTTGCCTGTCTGCGTGCCATTAACTTTATTAGGCTGACTCACCACCTTCTGCTCATTGCAGGCCTCAGCCCCCAGGTCCCAGGGCACCCATCAGGGGCTAGTTACACCTCCTGCTTGTTTTCTTTCTTTCCTCTGACTTGGATGCATTGAGATGCCACCACACAGAGGGTGGAGAGGAGGTTTAGCCTGTCAAATACTTATTTTGGTGCACCTCAGATTGCTACAAGACCTGCAGGTGGGTTTGGGTCAGCACCACTGCAATGTCACTGCTTGGACATGGAGAGAGCTTTCTCCTGTGCAGAGCAGCTCCATGGAAAACACAGACAAGACTATGCTAGCAATGGATAAATGAAAATTGAGCATCACTGGGATGATACAGAAATAATAAACTGACAGCAAAAACACAACCACTTTGTGTAACAGGGAGAGAAAATTCTCATCAGCTGCAAAAGGAAGCACTGATAACAGATAAGACCACCTACCCAGGCTGCTGATCTCTGAATCTCTCCTCTTACCCAGCATCGACGAACCATCCCAAATCCTTCACTACTATGTGTAACACATAGGAAGGCTAGATGGCATAACATCACTTCTGGGCAATGCTCAGGTGCTGCTTACCCAAGCCCAGAAATGTTATCCTTGTGGGACGGGCAAAAGAGCCATCACTTGCTCAAAGCATGAGAAAGCCACCACCACCACTGCCCTGTGCTGGCTTCACACATGTCCCAGAGATGCCCCCTGCCACCAGCCCTTGCAGCTCTGTGTTGGATGGTTACATTGGCAGGGAGGGCACAGGGCTCTTCCCTCCAGCTCACGGCTACATCCTGGCAATTTCCTGCCTGGCTGCAGAGATTTATCAGCATCGCAACACAGCACTGGCTGAATAATGGGCACCAAATCGTTCACTGCATTGTCATGAAGAGCTCTGCTTCCAAGTGAGGCCTCCCAGCTCAGCTGGTATGGATGCACAGCTGGAAACCAGCTGAAGCACCAGCGATAAAGGGCAACACAACAAGCAAAGGCCCAGCTGGGTACAGGCATTGAGGGGGGTCAGCCAAATTGGAAAAGCCACCAATCAGCTTGTAAAGATAGTCACAGGTATAGAGCTGGAGTGGGGCTCCTGGGAGCAGAAAATGGGAGTATAAAAGAAAGCCAAGCCATGAGATCACAGTTGGGAAACAACTGGGAAGCCAGGCAGGATAATTCACCCTGGCTGAATTAACAAGAAACTTGGAAGCTCCAGGGGAGAGACGAGAAGAAATGATGGGATGAAACTCAGCAAAGGGAAGTCACATGCTTTGGAGTGTGGATGCTTATATCCCTCTGGTTTTATTCCCAAGTGCCAGCCTAGATGGACTCACTGCAAAGAGAAATTACCTCTCATTCCTCTTTTGGGGAATCTTGCAAACTTTTAGGTTATATATGGTATCTTGCAGCAACGAGTTCCAGATATTGAATAAAAGACTATGACCCTACTGCAACTGCCCAGCCTTCAGCTCTCCTTGCATAGTGAGAGAAGCTAAAGAATAAAAGCCTTTGCTTTTTCTAGACTTAAGCTCACTACTATTAAATGCCTTCTCTTTCCCATGACACAAAGTCTCTTCCAGCTCTAACCACTCTCACCACATACCCCAAATATATCCTCTCTTTTGACCCTATGGAAAGGTGACCAGAACCGCATACAATATCCTGAGTAGGAAAATGACCTTGGCTGCCAGAACAGCATCCTGATGCTCTCAGCATCTCTCCTTACACTACTCCTTGTGCAGTCGAGCATGATTTACTTCTCCAATGGCACCTCTGCACATTGAGGACGAGTATCTCCAACCAGCCTGCAATGCTGCTGCCCTGAGTAGCCACAGTAATTTAGAAGCCAGTGTTGTCCCAGAACAAATCATTCCTTCCAATACACCTGGCTGCACACTTCTAAGGACCCACTTTCTCCCTGCCTCACACCACTTCACAAGGTGGCACTTCATCCTAACAGACCTCAACAACTCCAGGGTGTTGGCAGACTTTAGGCACCTTGCTGCACATTATCTTTTCTGGATCATTAACCACAAACCTCATCCCTCCACTCTTGTCACACTGAAGTTGTTCATTCCTAGGCTTTGTTGGTGGACCCTCAGCCAATTTTTGATCCATGAATATGCATCTCTTCCAGTTGGCAGTTTTCTTAACAGTCTTTTGTGAAGGATTTCAGAGGTTTTCTGAATACCCAAGCCAGTTATACAAGCTGCCTGAATATTACCTACTATCTTACAGAAGTACTGAAAGACTTGCAACAGATCAGGGAGGTATGATTTTCCTCTGCAGAGAGCAAACTGTTTTACCTCATTCCTGCATGTTTTATAGACCCATTTTCTGGTAGTCTTTCTACAAAAATGAGGCTCACATGCTCACATTGCCCATGAGCCTACCATAATCATTATTCATATAAACCATTATATGTTCAAGATGAACTTTGCAAGCCTATGGGTAATTTAAGCCACATTTCACAGAGACAGGTTCCAGAGATGTAGTTTTTTCCCCTGAAGCCTAGATGATGGCCTAGAAGGGAATGGAGATAAGTTTTCTTAGCTTCTCCAGCAACCCAACCAGAACACCCAGTAATGGAAAAGCTGGGGCATGTGCCCAAGGCTTACACTGCCTTTTCATCAGCCCAGCCAGGTGGCACAGTGGCAGTCAGCACCATCCTCTGGTATGCAAGCTCCCACCAGGCTGGTAAGCACAAGAAGGGGCTCCCCATGGAGACAGAAGTGCTTCAGGGGTGTGGGAGGGCTGGGAAAGCTTGCAGGGATATGGTTAAAAGGTGCCTTTCCTGGTCCCTCCTTCCCCTGGTGTGCTGTAGGACAGAGGGAGCATGGCTCTGCCTGGGCTGGGATGCTAACATCAGTACAAGCACAAAGAGCCAAGGCTCAGGCAATTGGTGGGAGGCTGTTGCAATGGATGGGGCTATGGGAACCAGCCTGTGGTGTCCAAGCCCTTTCCTGACCATTAACACAGCTTTCCACCAGAGCACACAGTGGGGCCAGAGGCACTAAGACCAGGACATCAAACCAGGTCCCATGCAAGCCCCAAAGTCTTCCCCTCCTGCACTACGTGCATTTAATGCTGACTTCCTCAAAACTGCAAAGACAGCATAGAAGAACCTGCCAAAAAGCATTTTCAGCTCTTATTCAGCAGTTCCGGACTCCATCCACTTCTCTGTGAGCAGTGGGAAGGGGGGAGGGAGGAATGGCAGTCCCCCTGCTTCCCCATCCCCAGAGAAACCTGCTCCCTACCCCACACACCCAGTAGGATGGCATGTCCATGCTGTCCCATGTTTCCATGTCAGGAGCAGAAGCATCCTGCTTCCTAGTTGAAGTCCCTAAAGCACATCCCACTGAGTGCTGCAGGGCACCAGCTCCCACCCACTAAGCCCTGTGTAAACGCAGTGCTGGGAACTGCTTCTCTAGAGGGCTTGCCAAGGCAGGGGCTCTCCTCCTCCTCGCCTTTGTCCTTGGTCTGCAGGTCATGACATCTTGCTGGGTTTTTCCTCTTGGATGAGCACCCATGTGGAAGCCAAGCAAGCCTGCAAGCTCTCATCCATCCGTTGCAAAGGGGAAGAGGGAAGGCAGCGGCATGAGGCTAAGAAGGCTAGGAGGACATGCCTTGGCTCTTCCATGGCTGTGTGTCAGCCTGCAGGGTGTGCATCAGGATGCTCACAGAATCATCCTCCAGTCTAGCAGAGGCCTGAGGGGCTCTTGCAGGGCAGGGTAACAGGAGGCACCCATTGAGGAGGCTGCCTTCCCCACTCTGAACTCTGCCATGGCACAGCATAGCTTAGGCACACAATAAAAATAGCACTGCAGGCCCCTCCAAACGCAGCATTTCCTGTTCTCACCAGCTCTTTGCCCCTCATGCCCAGTGTTTGCATCCTCTGCCAAACCCCTGACACCAGGGAAAGAAGAAAGAGAAAGCATTCTGCTGGGACTCATGCAGGAATGATGCAGAAGCTGTACAGCCGGCTTACAGGCAGACAGATGAGCTAACACGGGCAAGTGTCTAGCTGCATTCTTCCAGCCATGCCACTGATGTCATGAGGAGGTGACCTGAGAAATGCCTGCAGAAAAATGTAAATCAATAAAGCATGGGCCTGCACTTGCAGGAAGCGTGATGTCAGCACACAAGCTATGTTCGTTTGTTTTCTCACCGGTAAATGTTAATAACCCATCTGTAATTAGTACAGCGAGACTGTGCTCTGGTACACATACACTCCTTTATGGAAAGGTGAAAGCCTCACAACAGAGCGGAGGCACAGAGACAGGCAGGATACCTGCCTGGATACCAGCAGGCTTGGGATTACAACATAAAAGATTTCCAGATTAAATGAAACCAACAAAACAAAACCAACTCCAAATGTGCTAAATCTCTAGGATTCAGTGTTCAGGGAGGTGAGGTGCATTTTGGTTCCTGGCCCCAGAGTGTGCTGGGGACATGGCCTGTACCTTGCAGACCTGCTCCTCTGGGGTGCCCTTGGTCACCCAAGCACCACAGGGGGTCTGTGC